TAAGTCAGGAATGACATCCTTCACGGATGGGATCAGATCACGAATTTTGTGTACTGTATTGAACCGGACCAGGATCTTGAAAGATGGCAAGCTGCCATTCTTGGATGTTTTGTTTGAGAGGACACCTGATGGCTCATTGGGACATTCTGTCTACAGGAAACCCACCCACACAGATTCCTACTTGAAACCTGATTCCCACCACCACCCAACTCAAAAGAATTCTCTCATCAAAACGTTATACCACAGGGCTCATTGCATTTCGGACCAACACCACCTGACCAGTGAATTAAAACATGTACATCTGGCCCTCAAGAGAAACGGATACTCTGACCGTACCATCCGCCAAGCTGTTTCTCCCTCCATACAGAAACAACCACTTGATACTCCGATTAAAACCATCACACTACCATATATAGCAGGCGTTACTAAAAAGATCTCCAAAATTCTAAACAAACACAAGATCCTGGTCCGGTTCAATACAGTACACAAAATTTGTGATCTGATCCCATCCGTGAAGGATGTCATTCCTGACTTACAGTACCCTGGGGTTAACAAATTGAGCTGCATTTTTGGTGATTGCTATATCGGGGAGACGAAACGACATGTTTCTGACCGAATTCGCGAGCACAAATCAGATTTGAAACACGGCAGAACGAATTCTTCTGACGTAGCTGACCACTGTTACAACGCTGTTGGTGATCACGATATAGTTTTCTCCGATACCAAGGTCCTTTGTAAACCCACGGGTTTTCATCAGAGATTTATCCACGAGGCAATTCAGATTTACAAACACAGACACAATTTCAACCGAGAAGATGGTTTCAAATTAAGCAACCATTGGAAAGATGTTCTAAATCATACCAAACATTAAACAAATTTTGAATGGTATTTATCCAAGTAGTGATATACCAAACTTTCATAGAAGCTTATTTCACTTCACACCTACATTTGTAAACTCCCCCCCCCCTCCCCCGTGCCGGTCCTCTACGTTCCACTTCACACCCCCTCCCCCCCTCCGTGCCGGTCCTCTTGTGCTTTACGGTCATTTCATGCTAATTCCTTTGTCAAAGCGTTTTGTTTCCTCCCACACAGCTTAAAAGGACGCGACCTGGGCTGGACTGTCTTCACTCCAACGCTGTCATCGTGACAGTACGGTCCCCTTCACCTGATGAAGGCCACTTGTGTTGTGGCCGAAACGTCGTGATTTTTGTTGTTTTATTTTTTACCTACGTGACTTTACCGAATAGAACCAAAGAGTATGGATCCTTGCAGTCACGAAAGCTTCAAATCTAGAATCAATTGGCACATTTGTCCAGGTGGCAACTTTCATTTGCTTTGACTGTCGGGTGGAGGAGGGTTATAGCTCTGATTGGCATGATACCCACACGATCTAAACCAAAACATTATATTGTCTGCGTAATACCTTTGTCTGATTTGGTGGCCACCTTACAGGGCTTTGGAATTAAAAACGATGTTCCTAACTTCTTAGTGAAAGTGCTTTAACATATACACAATACTGTATACATTCTGCAAAAATATGTTCCTATCTCATGATAAAATACCAAGAAAGAGCTCATGTTCGTTGGTTCACATAATGCCTATGTCATCAGCAAATAAAGGATGGTTAATATTTTGTCAAATTACAATCAAATTTTCAGAAGATATTTTCTGTCACTAAATAGCTGTGATGAGAATATATCGTGCAATGTCAGCTTAGATGTACCTCTACATGTGGTTTTAATCATGTCAAGATAATTTTAACGCGTAAATGACATTAGTTTTCACTGAATTACATGCGTCTTCAAAGCCCACAGAAGCCATTCATAATAGTATTTGGGATATTTATTAGCATTTTCTAAAATATTATCGAAAGTGCACGTGGTCGATGGTAGGAAAAACATTTTCTAAATATACTTTGATCGTGATATTTGTTGGGCTTAACATTGCACGTAATTTATGATCTTCATGAACAACTTCAATACATGTCATAATTACGAGGATAAGATCTCCATAAATGCATTTAATAATTCGTGTAAAAATTTGATGGTTTTCTTTCCAAATGTGTTGCAATGGGTTCATTTAATAATTCGTGTAAAAATTTGATGGTTTTCTTTCCAAATGTGTTGCAATGGGTTCATGTAACTAGAGGCACTAACGTTAACCACGGTGTATAAAATATATTATTGTTGAATTTAATCCTGACGCTGAATGATGGTCATTCATCCAATTGCCTAGAACAGAACAGGAAGATGGCAGATAACTGAACTGTAGTGGGTGGCTAATTTCAGCTGTGAAGCTGAAATTCACGAAGCACTTTGGGACTGCAGTGAGCAGGCTGCAGAACATGAGTCAGTGACTTAACTATTGAGTGTGCAGGCAGTGGAACTGCACTGGGGCCCACTGACCATAGATGCCGAAGAACCAGGCTACAAAGCGTCAGGGATATTGGAAGGTGGGCGTTTGTTTGGGATTTTAATTCCTTGCACCATTGCCCATTGCCACGCTACACCACAAAGCTACAAAGGGTTCACACTGCCAGTCCACACACCTTACATGTGTCCTGGCCTCTACCTGCCAGGCACGGCCACAAGAAGTGCAGCTTATACCGAGCGCTTAACGCCTTCACCAATATTGTCGTGACCACAGCTACTGGCCTAAATCAATGGAACATTTGCGGCTCATGTCCTCGCATTTATTTTGTCTGCAACCTTGCATTGCAATTTTCAAACAAATGGCTGTGTCCGGTGTAAATTATACCAGGTTAGGTGACCTGGTAGAATTTTCCAGATGTCATTAGTGTGGGCACTAAAAAAAGAAAAGAACCCTGAAATCTGGAGGCGGAATGGTTAACAGTGATACTGGGATGTTCGCTCCTAGCAACAAGGGGGGTCCCCAGTGCATTTTGAAGCCAGTTGCATTTATTGATTTGTGTCCCAATTTAGAAAAGGTGTTACACTTCTGCCCAACTTGAATCGAGATGAATTAATGAGCAACTCTGCATATACTCGTGACATGCTGGGGGTATGTAGTTCTGTCCTGCCCCCATGAATACATCATATGAACTAAATGTGCTCACATAATGTACTCTGTAACTCTCAATGGAACACACGGACAAATGTTAGAATTGCCACCTCCGAGGTACAAAAAACTGGGCGATTCATGGGTGAAAATCTCACAATACTAAAAAAGGGGAGAACTAAATGTAGTGTAAAAGCATTGTCTTAGGTGGTTTATTACTTTCCAATTGACATTAACCGAGACTTTTAATGTCCTGGGAAGACTTATAGATTTCCCAGAACAGCCACCTGAAAAATATGATGTCCTGGGGAAACCAGATAAAGAAAAACCTAACAAAATGCCATAAGACATTTATAGCTTATTCAGAATGTACTGAATGGCCTTGTAATTTTCCAAATAATAAGACAATATCATGAAACGAATTTTATGTGATTGTGGGAGATGTATTACATGAGTGAACTGTTAATCATACTAAGTTGGATATTCCCTGCAACAAGTCGCATAACTTGATTTGTAGATTACGGTATGCACCTATTGTTCAACCGCAGTCCTCGACTTACGCACATCGACTTACAAATACCTGCACTTGCGAACCAGCTTCCATGAAATATTTTTTTTACACCGACTTAAAACTCGAACTTGCAAACTGAACCGCAGAACTATTTTGTTCAGCGAAGCGATCCTCTGCGAGATGTAACGAGTCAGCCTCACACTGGGGGTGTTTGTGCGTGTTAAAGTGTGGGGAGCGGTAGTTTATAGCTGTTAGCGGGCTGCGCTACGAACCTGGCGACCCGGGTTCGATTCCAACTCACGGCCAACACCAGTGACGATTATCTGAACCGGTCCTGGGCCTCCTCTAGGTTGACTCAGCCTCAAATGAGTACCTGGTGCGGTGTGTAAATGTCGCCACTAGGGAGGCAAAGGCGGCCGGGCGTGGTGTTGGCCACCCACCCCCTCCTGTGCCGTGTCAGCCTTCATAGGTGCTCGCTAATAGCACTTGTCCCTACACTTTGATTCTTTCGGTAAAGTCACGTAGGTATAAAATAAATTAAATCACTTTTATACCTACGTGACTTTACCGAAAGCACCAGAGTATGGATCACTGCAGTCACGAAAACTTTAAATCAAGATTGTCCCTACAGTTTGTGTGCAATTGTGGTGACTCATTGCGTCCCTTCCGACAAGCACGCCATCATCAGGACTAATTAACGTTACTTTTTGTTTTATTTACTATGCAGTATTTTTACAGTGTTACTTGCAAATGTACAATATTTATTCTTATTAATGAGTTTAACAACGCTTCCATTTTTTGTTGAACCGTAACAAACTTTATAACACTAACCGTCCGACTTACGAACGAAATATCTCCGGGTCATCCGGTTTTCCCCTTAACATTTAGAGACATGCGTTTAGAGTATATGGCTATACATTTCCACATAAGCCACTTCGTTGAGCTATCATTTGTGACCAGGTCGCTTCGGAAACATAGATAAAAGCTCAGTGGGCTTTACCTGGCAAAATAACGGGGTATAAAAAAAAAATGTGTTCGTAAGTCGATGACCGTCTAAAATTATAAATATTTGAGTCTCGTCTTTTAATTCGTGCAATGTCGCCACCTGCTGTTAACAGAGTACTGAACACGAGCCGTGGAAACCGAAGCGCCTCTCGACGCAAAAGCATTTGGGTCATGATTCAGGGTCGTGGATTGATTTATGAATGGATCATAAATACCATTGTGACCTCTACGGTATTGTATAGGTTACATTAACCCATTACATACCCTGTACTCGTTCTCTGCGATATTGATGTGGTCTTTGTTGTTCCTGTGCCCTCGGACCTCCCTTGTAAAATAGCGGGGCAACTCACTGGAATGGATTAAAACAAATATTAATTGTACATACGATTCTACGCATGAGCCAAAATAATATACGATCGATAAAAAATGTACACTCATATTGAACACGAACGCATTAGAAGGCAAGTCATATTGTCAACGATTCTTTAATCTTTCAGACAAATGTAAATAGCGAAAAAATGCTTCAAACGATGTGAACAATTGTACATACGCATTTGGCAAATAATAGTTTTTTTATTCACTGGTGTGAATTCATAATTTTATAGAGTATAGAAGTAATTCCAATAGTTTATGCAGGATACTTTAAATGCAGATGTAGGTTTATCCCATGTACTCGACGACTTTACACGTTGGAGAACCTGACCTCCCTGGTCAAAAAAACAACCAAGCACATTGACACGTGTCCTGTGGTGTCTGTTTTAATAGGGTACATTTTATGCGTATATATGCACTCTAATGGAAAACAAAATACCGAGAACAATACACGGTATTTTACTGGTTGATAAACGCTATGGTGACGAGCAAAAACTGACTGAATTAGCTGCTTGTGTTTACACTACGGAGTTCTCGATATTTATCCCCTGGCGCAAACGGGGCAAGAGTTCATGTCAATAAACAAATACGTTTTGTCAGCTGACAAAGGTCCAGTGCGGGCAAAAAAAACTCAGTGATCATAAATCACCCTTCATTTTAAATGTTATTTTCATTGATAATTAAATTATAGCAACTCCTAAACCGTTAGGTTGCACTACCATAGGATTCCGATCAAATCACGATCCTAGCTGATTTGAAATGTTAACAAAGATTGATTCTACGCTAAAAGGTGCGGCCCTAACATTCCACTCTTGTAATTTGTGGTTAATGAATCACCACGTTTGGTATATGGTTTTATGTCACGACAGTCTCATTTTAACACTGTAAGGTTCCACATCATTAACATTGGAGGCAGTTTTTCAGGAAACACAATGTTACGTATCATAGAGCGTACAAGGTATATTTAAAGTGACTTATTTTTCCCTTTATTTATGTTCCTTAAAATATGTAGTCGTGTTTTTTTTGTCCATTTTCCACCGATTCCCTATTCCTGTAACGTGACGCACACACCGATGCTTCATGTTTTGTATCGCACGCTATGTAATCATAATGGTCACCAAGATCTGTACTGTACAACTTCTGTCCCGTCGCAGGACGGCCATGAGAGCCGAACAGCTTATTGGGCCCTTCCTGCTGAAATAAATACAATCTCATGACCAGTCATATTTTTGTTAAATAAACTAATTATTCGGATGAAAGAAAAATGGACGGCACACATTGTTTTTAAAGTGTAGACTATATATTTTTTTACGTGCCATCTTTCGTTCAATGACACAAACAACCTGCAAATTTCATGAACGGACGAATGGACACTGCCTCACATGTTTCGTGAGAGAAATTCGTTGTTTTGCAGGATATACCCATCCGCGAAACGGAACACAGCTCCTTAATATCCTGGCATTGCGCGAGTGGCACAAGTACAGAATGTACAAATTACTTCTTCTTCGCAATACATTCTTGCTTGTTCACTCGTGTTTTTCAGGTTGCAGCTCTAAGTTCCTAGATCTTGCTGAGCCGGATGCGTGAGATGAAGGGGGCGTGGTAGGAGCCCAGGTAGAGCCATCCATCGTGCTCATGGGCCTCGCTGACGGAGGGCACCATCGTTCCCGCGGGGTCATGGAGGCTGCGCCACACTGCGCCGTCTGGGCCCAGCTCCAGCAGCAGGCCGTGCCGTGGCACAAACTGCATGATCACCTCCTGGCTCAGGACCTGTGCACAGGGACGTGGGCGCACGAGGGCACAGAACATCCTGACCACTGTACAGTGCGCCTGTGGCAACAGCCCAGACTGGCAGCATTTGGAATTCGCTGACAATGCTCATTGGCAATTCTGAGGTTATATATGTGTAATTAACATTCATGTAGCAAAGCATACGTTAAGTTATTATTCACAATTCATGCAAATTATATGCTGACGATACACAGACTGATGGAGTCAACAAAACTGTACAAGAGATACAGAAAACATCCAAACAACACAAACGAGATGGTAAAAGACAAAAAAGAGGATTCTCGATTCAAATCAGGACTCTGAATCAAATAGCATAATTCGCAGTAAATGTCTGATTATTCATCGAAACAAGTTGACAATATGCATTATCCACACCTTGAAGATGAGCGACTTAAGCCAAGGCCGCGGTGCGAGGAAGTCTACGAAAGAAAAACCAGGGTTGGGCCGCACCCCAGCCATGGCCAGCCAGTATCCGCCGGTGCCGCTTGCACGAATGTTGTCTGGGAATCCAGGAAGGTTGTCTGCGAAGATCTCGCTTGCGCCCGCCAGCTGTCCTGACAGACGATACCTGTGGACAGGTGGGGAGGGTTAACAATCGCTAAAGAAGCCAAAGGTGGTGCAGAAGAAGCAAGGTGCAGCAACGTTGTGTAGTCACTGCGTGGGCAGGCTGTGTCTGCGGCAGCTGAAACACAACCGTCGATGGGAATTATTAACAGGTGGCATACAGTGCATGTTAAATTAGGTGCCTTGAGGCAGAAAATATATTCAAGACTTGTGCTCAATGGCAGTTGTGTGTTTGAAGCGAGAGTGTTTATGGTTTGCAGCAGCTTTATTCAACTTGTAGACCAGGGGTCAAAGGTTTGGAGTAGCCCACCGAGAGTTATCAAGATGCCGATTACCGAGATGAACGAAAGATACAATATAAAAAGAGATGAGAAAGCTAGAGGCAAGAGGTACAGATTAGTGCTTGCGTATCACCTGTTTCCACGCCACGTAACTTCATAATGAATGTATGCGTGACACGTGACGCCACGTGGCTCTCCAGAGCACGCTCATGGTTGTTGAACGTCTTTCGCACCGTGCGTAGCAAACCGTGCTAATCGGAGGTGCTGTTGATGTTACATGCAAATATGATAATGCTTAACCGTGCCCTAACCCTCTGATCCTGAGCCAAGCCAATTTTAGTTGTCTTGTGAGGAAAGAGTTTGAGTTTCGTTTTGGCTCGACTCGGCAAATAACCAGTGGAAAACCCACACGTACCGGAAGGGCCCCCCCCCCCATGCTGGTGCGGCGCTGACGTGCCAGTAGGAAAGAGGTCGACAGGGCTTACTTGAGCACCCTTGCCATGGTTGTTTCAGCGACGAGCAGCGCGTCCTCGTTAGGTGTGAGCTGCACGCCATTGGGGAATCGCAGCCCGTCCATGAGTAGCCGTAGAGAGTCCTGGACCATGTTGTACTCGAACAGACTGCACCACCGCACACACCAGCTGTCACGTGTGCTCCAGCTGTCACAGCCTGAACAACAGTGCAATTGTTACCAGCAAACACATTGAAAAGGCGTTGTTAGGCTGTCATCAGCAAAGTGTGACTTATATTCTTGGTTCTTTCGGTAAAGTCACGTAGAAGGGAAACAATAAAATTATAAAAATATAAAACAATTAAATTCTCACAAAGATAATTTTATTGTTTTATATTTTTATAATTTTATTGTTTCCCTTCTATAAAAATATAAAACAATAAAATTATCTTTGTGAGAATTTAATTGTTTTATATTTTTATTGTTTCCCTTCTACGTGACTTTACCGAAAGAACCAAGAATATGAATCCCTGCAGTCACGAAAGCTTTAAATCAAAAAGTGTGACTTGTTTAACAGAAGCTGCCGAGCCAATTTATGTTGGGAGGCAACACCCCCCGACGAATAACCTGAGGACTCTTGAGCTGTTCAGAGTACAGCTGGGGTATATGAAGCTGCCGAGCCAATTTATGTTGGGAGGCAAGACCCCCCGACGAATAACCTGAGGACTCTTGAGCTGTTCAGAGTACAGCTGGGGTATTTGATTATATATTCAACTACTCAATGATCAGAGTATAGCTGGGGTATATGATTATATATTCAACTACTCAATGATCAGAGTACAGCTTTGGTATATGATTATATATTCAACTACTCAATGACCAGAGTACAGCTGGGGTATATGATTATATATTCAACTACTCAATAATCAGAGTACAGCTGGGGTATATGATTATATATTCAACTACTCAATGATCAGAGTACAGCTGGGGTATATGATTATATATTTAACTACTCAATGACTCTCTTGATTGCCAGTTTAATTACTCGACTAATCAGAACATGGCAACAGATGGGGAAAGTCGCAACTCTGGACGAGTTTGGTGCTATGATTGGCATCATCAGCTGAGTCACTCCTGAGCGTGGTTTAAGGAGGGTTTCCTGTACTCATGCTTCAGCTGAACAAGGATGGTTATTAAATAACATGTTTAGTGGAATAATATACATGACTGCCTATGTAAAAAAAAAAACACAAATATCACCCAAAACCTCTGAAAATACAAAAGCACCTCATTTGCCAGAGGGGAAGCCCTATTATTAAAAAAACACACGAAAGTTTAAAATGTATTTTTTTTCTAAATCCCATGTCATGCATGCAATGCTCCTGTGGAGATGGCTATAGATCGAATAATGTGGAGAGAGAGAGAACTCAGAAATTGGACCCCACATTTCAAAATAGTAATTAAAAAAAATGCCAACCTGGATGCCTGGACAATCTCATACATTACACTTCCCAGCCTTCTTCCCTCTGCGCTAAAGCCACTCCATCGCAGGCCTCACCGCCCATCAGCAGTGGCCTCCATCACCAGGTAGCGGTTGTTTCTCCGCTGCCACTTGCTGCTCGAGTCTGTGAAGTAGATCCTGGTGCCGTCACTGGTCACCGTCAGGTCATTGATGAAGCCCATGGGATGGCCCTCCACCGGCTCTCGGGATGACACCAGGGTCAAGACATTGCCTGTCCATCATGCCAGCAAGCAGCACACAAGGCGAGTCATGCACGACAATCCCATTCAACTATCGCAAGCGTAAGAACTTTAGCGATTGGACTGAAGCATCTTTGCATGTCCAATCACAAACTCAACATTCTTCATTGAGTTGTGGTAGAGTGAGAAAAACATTGATCGAGTTTTGTCCATGGCTTGATGAATAGCAACTTATAAGTCCATGTTCAGATTAGTTAGCCAAGAAATGGCTTCAGCTGATGTGCTGTAGATTGCTTCAATGTCTCTGTCGAATGTTCGGAGTTCATAGTGGTTCATAGTGGGTCGAAGGTCTAATTGGTGTTTGCGCTATCGCATGGCAAGCTTTCGTTTACTTCCAAATTGCAAAGGTAGTGAGCGGGTCTGCTGTGAGTTGGCAAGGAAGATTCAATCCCAGAGGTTATTTACTGGGATTGGTAATCAGGTGCTCTTTCAGCATATTGGTGTTCACCCAAATCTGTCACAATTGCTCTGAGGGGTGCAAAAAACACATTTTAAAAGCCTTTTGGTTGTGCTCAAGAATTATTTGCATGACTTTTGGCAGTAATTCAATAGATTCCATATATCTTAGTGGAAGGACAGAATTGGATTGACTTGGATATCAATGCATTGGTATGAAGAATCGTGTTATAATTCGGTCGAATTCGTTAAATTATATCCTGACAAGTGCCGTAAGGCCAGTTGTTGTTTTTATGTAAATTATACATTTCCTCCACATTTGTGAACAACGTTTTGGTGCATGGCATTAAAAAATATATTTTTATTTGAGATGTATGCAAGATAATACGTTCATTGTCATTTCAAACACTCCATGATGTTGTGTGCAAAAGTGGTTACGAGAAAATTAATAATGTAAATTAAATTGGAAAAGACCCTTCAGATTTAGGGTCCTTAATGTCAGCTTGCAAGCTTTTTATAATGGAATCATGTCAGACTTCATTATGTCAAACTGGTACCAGGCTGCAGATTATTTATTTACTTTCATCATGTAGCACGACTCACTGCAGTACTCATGCCCTATTTTTATCTGTTCTGTGCCAATTTCGTGAGATGTGCCTGCAAGCACCTGTACTGACTTTTAAGCGTTAACTTCAACAAAACAGGGCTACACAAAGAGATGGTCATGATAACACTAACACTGCTTTTTCCTCGGGTAACAAAACATTTTCCTTTTTTTGGCAAATGGACCTCATAAACTATTAAATGGGTAAGAAACAAATGTATACATGCTCTGTTAAACATGCCGATGCTATACAGTATGGTATAAAAAAATAACAAGGTTAACCCATTCTGCTCTCAAGTGCAATATAATCCCCTAAACCTCCCTTTGCCATTGCGGTCTTATGAATGCACAAGCTTTTAGGGTTCCAATTTCATATATAAAAAATACATAAACTGTACAGAGAGAAATGGCATTGTTTAGCTACACTGAATGGTCATACACGAGCAACAGGGAAAAATAAATTCCTGAAGATAAATGTGCATATATATTTTACAAGTGTATGGTACATGGGGGAATGTTTATAGTTTGAAATTCTGACGAATTTATGTGCTTAAACTTTGTGTAAGTAAACAATAAAGTCCATTCCTTCTAATAATATTCATGAGTCCATCAACCAATAGGCATCAGCATTATTTTAAGCAGGCAAGTTCTGGACGAGTTTTGATCTCCTAGGTCTCATCAGCAAAGTTGTGTTGCCAGATGTGAATGGCCAAAGCACTCCATTCGTTCAAGCTACGAGACTCCCCAGCGCAAAAAGTGTTATGCACCATCTCAGGGGACCATGATTACGATCGTTATGCTTTTATATCCAGGAAAGACTCAACTTCTCATGAATCTTTTTCAGCAGGGTCCTCCCAAGTTTTCGTGGGACAGGGCGATGATCACTGTCGATTCCAATCGAGTAATTTGATGAGGGACCATGGAATAGCAATCAGCATGGAATTTCTGTACAAATCATGGATACCTTTGACTCCTGAAAAAAATGTCACGATTTCTTTCATAAGTGAATTTGATCATAACGCTGCATATGGAGGCACATTATAAATGATCTTTTTCAGGCAAACAAAAAAACGGTATGATTTGGAGTGGTTCATGAGTTGATTGCAAGAGCGCAGGTGGCTTCCTGCTAACTCCCCCCCCCCCCCCCCCCCCCCCCGAGTCTCGGGAAAGAGGTTTGCTCACCGGTGATGGGATCGACCTGGAAGAGACCGAGGTACGCGTCGGCTATCAGCAGTGTTCCGTTCGGACTGGCACGTATTCCCAACGGTCGCCCGCACGTGGGCTCGAGCTCCGGGCGCCCTGCATTACGCGCACACGATGGATCCCGCGCAGTTCGCAGTGAGCAAGTGCAAGCACGTGCAGTGCGAAGCATGAGCACGAGGGAATGGCTTGCTTGGCAAAAAAGCCCAAACGGAGGAGGAAATACAGGGCAAGCCCCCCCCGCTCAGCGCTCGGGATGCATTCCTGGAGAAGGGAGCGCCAATTGAATTGGTGCTAAAAGGGGGTCATGATTCCACTGTATACATAGGGATGCATTCCCGACAGCGTCTTTCCTGTGAGCAACATACGAGGGCTTCATTGAGATGTCAGCAAGAGCTAAAATCACCCAGAAATGTCTGACAGTCCCGCGCGTAACGTCACTCAACATGAGGCCCACCCCCCCCCCCTCATTAATATTCATGAGTGGGTGGATTTTTACACAAATGCAGAGGAAAGTCGAGCTGAATTAAATAATTTATTATGCAAAGTTGCTTCAAATATGACGTTTATCTACAGAAAGTGACGGTAAAAAATACATCTACGCAGCAGTGCTACATCCGTGCGTGACATCACTGCAAAAGAGGCCCCCCCCCCCTTAATTAATATTCATGCCTGCGTGGAAATTTACACAACACACAAGGTCGCACACTCCTCATGCCGCACCCCTCCCCTCATTAATAATCATGAGCGGGTGACGTCACTCCACATGCCGCACCCCTTCACAATAACCATTAGCAGGTGACGTCACTCCACATGGGGAACCCCCCCCTCATTAATAATCATGAGCTGAACAATATCTAAATTGAATATTTCAGATTTACTGCAATATACCGTACACCCGTCCTTGGACAGGCAAAAAAGCTAGTAGAGCTAATAATAATAATACAAGTGGTGAACATTATTTGTGGATTTGTGGACATGGATGATGTTGGCGGCGCAGAGACTCACTCGCGGAGGCCCCCATCCCCTGCCCAGCTCCCCCCCCCCCACCACCCCTGGGCCGACCACCTTTGTCTTCCCAATGCCTCAACACTTTTCTGGCTCCCAGCTTTCCGTCACACCCACCCCAGCTACGACCAGGCCTACCACAACTCCTCCGAAACACTCGCGCCCATTCTGTTGTCACTAAAATGACACCACCACTTGTAATAACCCCGTTCTTCATCGGAAACCAATATCATATGCACAGTTGTATAATTGCTGTGAAGCACCTTGAAAAAGGCGCAATAAACATTTTCGACAAGATAAGATTATTTCATAAATAACAAATAATAATGTATGATCATATCAGTATTATGTCCTGTACTCATGAGTGCATCCTAGTGTACTCGTACAAGGCAACGGTGGATCAAGACGTTGTAGTCGTCTGGGTCATTCTCAGAGAAGAGCTCCAGGAGCTCTGTGATCTTAGTGATGCCCTCAGTCTAAATGTGTGGTTTATTTTAGGTGGAGCCTTTAGACTATCCCGGTCCCTTGAGTTCTCACCTGGCTGAACAAATCGTTTTTTTTTTAATGCAATCGCAACCACGAATCGTGATAATGGAATTGCGGGGGGCGGGGGGGGGGCATGCTGATTGGCTCAGAGCGTACGTCGCTCTCATTGGCCAAGAGAGCGACGGGTTCGGGTACATTTCCACGGTCAGTGCTGCTGCATGTTCTCACTCTATGGGGTCACGCTAAGTGAAGTCTGCCTGTGCAAATGATCCCCATGTGCAGCCTACAGAGAGTACTGTAAGCAGGTACTTATTAGGGGTCAGCAGAGTACACGAAGTGGTGATGTGGCCAGAATGCCTGACCGCCTTTATCATTCCAGTTATGATGTTTACACACTGCACCAGGTACTCATTTGAGGGCTGAGTTAACATATTAGAGGCCCAACCACATATAAACAAAACACTATACTCTTTGGTTTTTTCGGTAAAGTCACGTAGGTAAAATAAATGAAAACAACTAAATTATTGATGCAGCAAAATTGCTGTATCAATACAGCAATTTAAGTGCAATAAACTCTGGACAGGTTTGCAAATGTGAACCCCTCTCTAAACGAACAAGCAAAATACACCCGTTTGTGGCAGCTTGCACACAGGAAGCAGGTGCAGGAAGTATGGCTTGCGTCAGTTGGTTGTCTCTGGAATTTATAGATATAAATGTGATAAAGTATTTAAAAACATATACACTAAATTACCCGACCATAGTGCTTTGAGACACACGTTTTCAAAAGGTGGTTGGATTATACTGTAATTCGATCAAATCAAAAATTTAAGGGAAAAAGTTTTTTTAACTTATTATCTTATTTACTACTTACTTTTTAAGTGTTTTACTTATTGTCTTATTTACTACTTACTTTTCTATTTTCTTAAGCTATTCGTTGTATGCGGTTGTACTTTATTTTGCACACAGTTGCAATTTGTTTTTCTCAGTCGGTGTTAGCCACTGATGGCGTAACGGGTTTCTTTTTTCATTCCTGTTGCTGTGCCCCCTGTATCGTTCCCGTTCTGTTGTAATATGCACCGATGCCTACTATATTGAGGGCGATATTGGCACAAAATAAATATTGATTGATTGGAGTAATTTTGGCACACAAATGGATAAAAAAAATAATCATTACCACACGGTGGCTTTCCAAATCTTGCCAGTGTGGATATTTCCCCTTTTTCAATTTTTAAAACTCGTCCATCAGCCGTTCCAGTATAGAGCACATCTGAAAGGCAGGATACAAACAATGCAGAATCTAAATCTCAGTTGCAATTGAAAGATCAGCAGCGAATGCAATGCATTGGTTAAACGGTGAATTGAAAAGTTTTTACAACACTCATTTAAAGTACAGGGTGGTCTACAATCATAATCCATGGAATATTATCGCTGAATAAATTCAGTTTGCTCAACATAATAGACAAGTCAGAACCTGCCGATGAAATATAAACATTCTCCATTCAGCCACATTGGAACTTTGCAGCTAATGAAAAGCAGACCAGAATACATTCTACGCGGGCCCTATATTTTATAAAGGATATTTGTTTTCATTTCCAATGTAAGTGATTTCCTGCCACAGCTGTTATATAGAGTGGTAAAATACAACTGCTCACAGATTTCACTGGATATTACTCATTGCAAGAATTATGAGAAAATCTAGCATCGGTTTCAATCTATTTTAGTGATAACAGTAACTGGTGAGAAAATACAAATCCACTCTCAATCATTCTACAACCAGTTCTTTGTCTGATAATGGAACCATCTGTTGACTTCCAACTGCAAAAATGTGTGCCATTGTTAACATTGTGTGGCGGTTTGCAATTCTGAAATGCTTTCCGCACTTGTGGTCATGTCAGGTTGACTGGATAATTCAAGTAATCAAGTTGACGGTAAGTTTTTTCCATTGCCCATATCACGTGGTCAGTCGCTTTAAATGCACATTAATCAACGACGCTGGATACACACAGCCCTGACATGGCCACTGTAGAAAACTAAGCAAAACTTCTAATAAATATTAATTATGCAGATGAACCGTGACATTCCGTGGGTATCACAGTGACATGTGGGCGTCTCAATGTCTTACTGCGAGTCAATGTTATTGCACATTGTCCAATATTTTAATCTAAATGAAGCACTGTGGCATACTTATAGGGATTTGTTCAATTTACCTCCCAACGTAACAATGGACTCTGGGCCCATGAGCTGACCCTGGAACAGCCGTTCTACTCCACGTAGCTTCTCGTTTGGCTGCAGCAGTCCCGTCAACGGGGGCGGCTCTGCATAGCTGCCGGAGCGTAGCCACAGAGCAATCGCAAAGCATGGCAGGGAGATGATAAGCAGTTTTAGGTTCATGGGCAACAGAACAAACATGTTCATTTTGCACAGCATGCAAGCGCATTCTTGGTAACATGACTCCGGTATCATTTATCATCCAAAAATGTATTCTGGATTCAATAAAGAATTTCTCAAAAGTGCCAAAAATGCTTAATTTTTTTTATCCTATCACATCTGCTCATCATCACGAATGAAGAATTGTATCAAGGTGAATGACAAGAGGAATAATACACATCATTTAAATTTCAGCAAATATGCATTTATTTTCATTTTATAAATCTTATGTTTATCATGATGCTCATTACTAGTACACTAGAGCTGAGCAGTGGTGCAATAGTCAGCACCCTACCCTCTGAACCCATTCCCTTGAGTTCAGTTCCCGGTCATGGATAGCATCACTGGTGAGTGATATCTAAATTGGTTGCCTCCACCCTTAACCACCAATCCACACTGAACACCAGCGTATGGTCAAACTATGCTCATGATCAATTGGCATGGCGAAGCCTTTATTCATCAGTCGGTTTATTAGTTATATAAATTATAACTAATAAAATATCTAAATAGTATACCGTAATATAGTGGTCGCTACAGAACATTAGCCAATACATCAAATGGAAATGTTAAAAGGCAACACGCACGCGAGGTAAAGATAGTCAATTATAATTCTGTTGAACACAATAAAAATACCGTATCGGCATGTATCTAGTTCCAAATGTTCTCAAAGAAACATGTTGTTCTGATTTAAGCACTAGATCTGTGGCAACAGCGCATTAACACAATTCATATGTTTAACTTACCACCCACAAACGGCTCATTTCCACAACTTTCATAACCAATGATTGACTCTGGTGACATTTAACAATCAGCTCCAAGGATAACCTGTGACAGATTTGATCGATTTTTTCCATTCAATCTTACGATTTATATGTTACAACCTTGCTCTGTTCATCACGGTCATCTGAACAGCCGTAGCCAGACAGCTGGTGCAAGGTGCCATCCCCAGTCATCCCGTCAACCCGTCCTTGGCTACAGCACTGGATCTCAATATCCGTTCAGGTATTTTCCCACTCTGTGATCGAAAAAAGAAGTATTTATTTATTTATTTTGTTGAAAAGGCATACGTATACCAAAGTGTTACCAACTCGGTTAACATGTTTGCTCAGTTCACGAACATTTCAAATCTGAGATGTGCTTAACAGTTCAAGAGCCATAGTCCATAACGAAACGTAAAACAAACATCCTTTCAATGTCTGTGCACATGGATTGACAGTGCATTTGCCCGAAATCTGGAGCCGTCCATAAATGACGTCACGCGATTTTGGACGATTTTTGACCCCCCCCCCTCGTCACACGGCATCACAAAAAGCCAGACCCCCCCTCAAATATGATGTCACAAAACTCTGCCCCCCCCCAAACCATAAAACATAGTTCAAAACACTGTAAACTATTGTCATTGTGGTGCGTCTTTAATGTGGCACTGCACTCTGATGTTGTATGAGAAAACATTTAATAAAAAGTCTATTTAATTGTAGAACGTGTTGTCTATATTTATTTAAAGTTGCGCATTTTGACGTGACGTCACATTTCTCAAACCCCCCCCCCCCCCCCTCGTCACACATCGTCACAAATGTCTGACCCCCCCCAGGGTGCGTGACGTCATTTATGGACGGCCCCTCCATCATAACCATTTCGGAGTAGTTTCTGTGCAGTTTGAATCTCTCATTGGTAACCATTAATTTAAATGTTTGCTGATACATAAATCAGGAAACTATAGCAACAGAACATATAACATTAACCTGAGGTTGTAGAAACCGGGCAGCTCAGACGGGCTGCCGTTATATCAGTAAACATAACCTTTTGCAACTTACTTGCGTGAGCTATATATACCCTTTTTCGACTGTACAACCGTGGCACACCAGGGCTGTACCGACCCAGCCGGGCGTAGCTCAAGCAGGTGACACATTATTTTTCCACCGCAGAAGCAAAGCTGTGCCACTGATGTCCCATGTAATGAACGGGTAAAGACGCATGTAGATGACTTGACACTGTGTACTCGGTATACTGACTTATGTCACAAAATTAACGCATCAATCGCCACGCCCATGGCCCTGCTTGTCTCTGAACCAGATGCAGATGTCTCAAGAGGCCAGTACAGCAAACCTTTCACTCTCTTGGCTTTAACCATTTCGGTTTTCCGCCAAACGTATTGAGGTACAATTTAACACGTAGACCTTACGTGACCAAAAAAAACTGTATTGTTATTAATTGAGGTACAGTTTGCCAATCGCACCCCTTTAGCTTGACTATTCGCAGTTGACCACGAAATTCCTGTATGCATCGTAACTGTACTGCTCGCGATGATGTTGCTGCAGAAGAACACCAGCGCCATCTTGTCTCCATCTTGTATGCCCAGCCTTCAGTGAGGCAGTGACGTTCAGCTGCACATTTATTTTGAACACTACATTCGATTTGTTTGCATTCTATGCATTTACCATACACGTTACATCAAAATACTTCCTGTTAAATGTTTGGGTTAATATACAGTAACAGCAAACAATAGGAGGGGGTGTTGTATTACGAACCGCGAACCAAACCATAGTTTTCCCATATGCCTTTGAGTTTGTGGATATTTTCCAGAACATAACCCCTGTGATGGGCAAGGGTTTGCTATGCATCATGGGTTGGTTCTGGCTCGGCATGGAAAATAGCCAGTGTAAAATCATCGATGTATTGAGGGCCCCTTTGTTGGCACAGCTCGGATGTACAAGTGGAAAAGGGGTAGAAGCTGTACAACAAATGTATATAATGACTAATCTTTCGTATTATTTCTAAAATATATTGATTGTTTTGCTGTTGTTAGTTGCTGCATTGTGCTACATTGAGTAAAATAGAATATATGTGCGATAAACGTATCTACAACACAGTATTTGCATAGGCAGCATGAGTAGAATGCGATACATCACCAGTACATACCTGTAGGGCTGCGGATTGATGGGCGAGTCAACAAAAAGGCACAAAATAGCCAGAGGAATCAGCAAAAGAAGAAGCATGATCCCAATGCTAAGGCGAAATGCACGGCCGCTTACCGATCTGCGCACACGGGAACAAACACAAAAACAAGATGTGAAAATTCACAATGTATTTTAATAACTATTGGCAGCGTTTGAGTTAGCAAAGATGGAAATAAAATGAATGACAATGATTGATAATAAAGGAGACAATCTATTGTTTTACCAACATAGGAAGCCTGCAAATGGGCTTTCCATTTTTTTTAACCACATTTTGAGATAAGTGCATATTTTTCCACCACCGGCAATGGAAGTGCAGTGGAATGCATTGTTAATGGCAATAGTGCAAGTATGAAGCACTTAGGTTATCCTACATTAACGTCTCAGTTACAGGACGCTATAGAATGCACAAGATTTAAGTTATGTACATTTTACAGTGAGGGAAAAAAGTACTTGATTCCCTGCTGATTTTGTACGTTTGCCCACTGACAAAGAAATGATCATTCTATAATTTTAATGGTAGGTTTATTTGAACAGTGAGACAGAATAACAACAAAATCCAGAAAAACGCATGTCAAAATTGTTATAAATTGATTTGCATTTTAGTGAGGGAAATAAGCATTTGACCCCCTCTCAATTATAAAGATTTCTGGCTCCCAGGTGTCTTTTATACAGGTAATGAGCTGAGATTAGGAGCACTCTTAAAGGGAGTGCTCCTAATCTCAGCTTGTTACCTGTATAAAAGACACCTGTTCACGGAAGCAATCAATCAGATTCCAAACTCTCCACCATGACCAAGACCAAAGAGCTCTCCAAGGATGTCAGGGACAAGATTGTAGACCTACACAAGGCTGAAATGGGCTACAAGACCATTGCCAAGCAGCTTAGTGAGAAGGTGACAACAGTTGGTGCCATTATTCGCAAATGGAAGAAACACAAACAACTGTCAATCTCCCTCGGCCTGGGGCTCCATGCAAGATCTCACCTCCTGGAGTTGCAATGATCATGAGAACGGTGAGGAATCAGCCCAGAATTACACGGGAGGATCTTGTTAATGATCTCAAGGCAGCTGGGATCATAGTCACCAAGAAAACAATTGGTAACACACTACGCCATGAAGGACTGAAATCCTGCAGCGCCCACAAGGTCCCCCTGCTCAAGAAAGCACATATACATGCCCGTCTGAAGTTTGCCAATGAACATCTGAATGATTCAGAGGACAACTGGGTGAAAGTGTTGTGGTCAGATGAGACCAAAATGGAGCTCTTTGGCATCAACTAAACTCGCCGTGTTTGGAGGAGGAATGCTGCCTATGACCAAAAACACCATCCCCACCGTCAAACATGGAGGTGGAAACATTATGCTTTGGGGGTGTTTTTTTCTGCTAAGGGGACAGGACAACTTCACCGCATCAAAGGGATGATGGACGGGGCCATGTACCATCAAATCTTGGGTGAGAACCTCCTTCCCTCAGCCAGGGCATTGAAAATGGGTCGTGGATGGGTATTCCAGCATGACAATGACCAAAAACACACGGCCAAGGCAACAAAGGAGTGGCTCAAGAAGAAGCACATTAAGGTCCTGGAGTGGCCTAGCCAGTCTCCAGACCTTAATCCCATAGAACATATGTGGAGGGAGCTGAAGGTCCGAGTTGCCAAACGTCAGCCTCGAAACCTTAATGACTTGGAGAAGATCTGCAAAGAGGAGTGGGACAAAATCTCTCCTGAGATGTGTGCAAACCTGGTGGCCAACTACAAGAAACGTCTGACCTCTGTGATTGCCAACAAGGGTTTTGCCACCAAGTACTAAGTCATGTTTTGCAGAGGGGTCAAATACTTATTTCCCTCATTAAAATGCAAATCAATTTATAACATATTTGACATGCGTTTTTCTGGATTTTGTTGTTGTTATTCTGTCTCTCACTTTTCAAATAAACCTACCATTAAAATTATAGACTGATCATATCTTTGTCAGTGGGAAAACGTACACAATCAGCAGGGGATCAAATACTTTTTTCCCTCACTGTATGTGGATTTTTGCCAATAGATTTAGCAAACACAAACTAGTAGTGAAGACGTTGTTCTGTGGTCAGTCTTCTGCATTCGTTACTCCCACCGATTCGGTGTCGCTGTCCATTAGTAAACGTCTTCCACCATTTCAATGGCAAAGGCCCGCAGCCACGAACAATGGAGTTATTGTTAGGGTGGAGAGAAGCCTAGCCAGCAGCCAGCCAGGAAAATCCGATGTATAGATCATTTTTAATAGTAATATGATGAAAATGCACATCATGGCTTGTTCAAGAGCAGCAATTATTAAATTATGCAACAACCCTTGTGCTGATTGAAACAAACTCATTCAAGTATAATGCAGTACTGTATATGGAAATGTTACCGTGAAGTTAAAAACTAATTCATGGCCATGAATGAGATGGGAAACTTGCAGCATTGTATACAGTTGTTCATTCTGTGGCACATTTAAGTGCAGTAGAGAACAACTGAAATGTGAAACAATAATGCAGAACAATGGATATATTCTGCAGTGCTGGGCCATTCTACGAGAACTAAACCGGTTTAAGTTTTTTTTAAAAACCCTGTGTTCAATGTGTACTTTGCACCCACGACTTTCATTAAGTAAACTACTGTACTGCAAACGTGCCCTGCTCTCTGCAATGAGCTGTTAGTGTGCATTTTATGTTGTGTTAAAGTACGGTATGCCTCCATGTAGAGTTCTTCGTAGATAGCCCACTAATTTCTGATAACCCTCTTCGTACAGGCGATTGAATATTGTGACAATGATGGCTCCACATCTTACACGAGAGCGTCACAATTCTGTAAATAAGTGCAATTGAGATTGGTGGGAGACATGTAAATACACGCTTTGAAATAAATCGCTGTTTTCTTTATACTATAATTGTTCTCGAACGTTTCATCGCCAGGCATTAGCAATGCTGTGCCGTGCCTAGGTGTTTCGGTAAAAATGGTAACCGTTTGCAAAACAACGTCAGATGAACACAACATAAACACGCTAAAGCCACAACAAGGGCCGTCCATAAATGTCGTCACACGGCGTCACAAAGAGTCAGACCCCCCCCCTCAAATATGACGTCACAAAGCTCTGCGACCCCCCCCCCCCCCAAAAAATATATATAAAAAATGCTTCAAATCGCTTTAAACTATTGTCATTGTAGTGCGTATTTAATGCGGCGCTGCACTCTGATGTTGTAGGAGAAAACATTTATTAAAACGTCTATTTAATTAAGTAGAACGTGTTGTCTATATTTATTTAAAGTTGCGCATTTTAATGTGACGTCACATTTCTCAAACCCCCCCCCCTCGTCACAAATGTCTGACCCCCCCCCCAGGTGCGTGACGTCATTTATGGACGGCCCCACAGTACATACTACAAGCGTCTAGGACGACCCAGAGCATCGTGCACTGGCGCAGCCATGCTTACATTCACATGAACGAGCTCACATTAACGACAGCAACAATAACTCATTGTTGTCCTTTCTCTGCGCCTCCTATTAGCACGGTTGGCTACGTACGGTGCGAAAGAAGTTCAGCATGCGCCTACATTCGACGTCGTTAAATCACGCGCAGGCATGGCCAACACAAGTGGCCCAAATGTGCCGAAGGTGCCGACCACGCTGCCGCCATGGATTGCTATTCGGGGCCCGTTATAGAACAGACACACACACACAGAGACACACACACGCACAGAGACACGCACACAGACACACACAGATACACAGACACACACAGACACACACACAGGGACACGCACACAGACACACACAGAGACACACAGAGACACACACACAGACACACACAGAGGTCTCTAGACAATGCTTGCACGAGCCCGTGTGTTCGATGCCGTGTGCGTTGCGTGCACTCAGTGCGTGCCACGATTCGCATAATGCTCCACGTGAACGACAAGGACGACTACTACAAGGACGACTACAACAAGGACGACTACAACAAGGACGACTGCAAAGACCACGACAACAAGGACGACTACAAGGACGATGACGACGCATCTCTCCGTGCAATTGCACCCCGTGCTGTGGCGAAGCGCCATTGCCTGCCCCCTCCAGAACAACAACAACGCAATGCGTACACCACAAGCCCCAGCCAACCCCAGTTAGATTCCCGCTCAGTGCACAACATCAGCCGCGGAAATATCTAAAAAAAAACACTCCTCCGGCCACCGCTAGGTCGACTCAGCCTTAAATATCGTCGCTTGGTTAACGGACGAAGGGCACCCGTTCCGAACGTTCGGCACTTGTGCAACAGCAGCGCGTTGGCAAGCGAAGGAGGCGGCGGCGATCTGCCTCTTGCCGTCTTTCGTGTGTGTATGTGTGTATATGTGTGTGTATATGTGTGTGCGTGTATGTGTGTATATGTGTATGTATGCGTGTGTATGTGATGTGGGGAGCGGTGGTGTATCGGTTAGCGCTACGCTGCGCTATGAACCTGGCGACCCGGGTTCGATTCCCGCTCACGGCCAACACCAGTGACGATTATCTGAACCGGTCCCGGGCCTCCCCTAGGTCGACTCAGCCTCAAATGAGTACCTGGTGCGGTGTGTAGTAAACATTGCCACTAGGGAGACAAAGGCGGTCGGGCGTGGTGCTGGCCACCCACCCCCTCGTGTGCCGTTTCGGCCTTCATAGGTGCTCGCTAACAGCACTTGCCCCTACAGTCTGCTAAGGCTATACGGGGGATATTTGTCTTTGTATGTGCGTGTATGTGTGTATGTGTGTGTATGTGTGTGTACGTGTATGTGTGCGTGTATGTGTGTGTGTGTGTGCCCCCCCGAACGTTTGTATCGCGAGTGCTCGTAAAAGCCCCCCCCCCACCCCCCCGAACGTTTGGCCCTGCGAGCCACTTGCCCGGCCGCGAGTCCGTGGCTCCCGGCAGCAGCAGCAGCAGGAGGCTCCTCCAGCTCCTCCAGCTCGTCCGTCACGACGAGCTGCTCGGGCGTTCGTCGCCTGCGCAGATCCGTTGGTGGCTCCATCTTCGTCTTCACTCCCCTCGCCCCGCTCGCTCTCTGCCCGCCGCCTGCAGGAGGGACGGGGGGGGTGTCGCTGCTCTTCATAACGAGGTCGCTTCCCACCACCACACACACCAACACACACACAACAACCACACACACCTCAACCACACACACACACCCACCCCAACCACACACACACCAACCACCCCAACCACACACACACCAACCACCCCAACCACACACACACCAACCACCCCAACCACACACACACACACCAACCACCCCAACCACACACACACACCACCCCAACCACACACACACACCAACCACCCCAACCACACACCCACACCAACCACACACCCACACACACACACCAACCACACCACACACCCACACCAACCACCCCAACCACACACACACACACCAACCACCCCCACCACACCCACACACACCCCACCACACACACACACACACACCCCAACCACACACACCCCAACCACACACCCCAACCACACACACACACACCCCAACCACACACACACACACCCCAACCACACACACACACCCCCCAACCACACACACACACCCCCCAACCACACACACACACCCCCCAACCACACACACACACCCCCCAACCACACACACACCCCCCAACCACACACACACCCCCCAACCACACACACACCCCCCAACCACACACACACCCCCCAACCACACACACACACACCCCAACCACACACACACACACCCCAACCACACACACACACACCCCAACCACACACACACACACCCCAACCACACACACACACACACACACCCCAACCACACACACACACACCCCAACCACACACACACACACCCCAACCACACACACACACACCCCAACCACACACACACACACCCCAACCACACACACACACCCCAACCACACACACACACACCCCAACCACACACACACACACCCCAACCACACACACACACCCCAACCACACACACACACCCCAACCATACACACACACACACCAACAACAACAACCGCCATTCGCCACTAAGTGGCGGTGACGTCACCACGACGCTTGTGCCAGGCTATGTGCACCCTGAGGCCACGTGAAGTGTCGAACGCCCGCTGGCAGGAGGTCACGGGGCAGACCCAGGTGCCACGGGTCGACTGACAGAGATGACTGAGATGATTGGCTGATGCACCACCTGTGCCCCCTACTGTGCCAACCTGCTGTGCTTTAGCCACCCGGCGCTCCGCTCGTTGTTCTGAACGTCGCTCCTCCGCCCTCCGTTGTTGTTGGAGGGCGACTACCTCCAACTGCCCAGTAGCGTCCTTCACGAGCCTCCTCCACAGAGGCCGATCTTGACACCGCTGGTACCAGTCATCGGCAAGTCCACCCAGCTCCACGTCCTCCTGTACCACATCACTCCATCTCTTCTCTAGCCCGTGCCAAGCCCGCTTAGCCCCCTCAATCCAACCGAACAAAAGCTGTTTCGGCAGGCGGTGGCTGGGCATGCAGGCTACATGACCCAGCCATCGCAGCCTTCCGCGCCGGAGGAACTCACCGATGGGACCTTGCCCAGATCTTTCAAGGATTTGTGAGCTCCTCACACAATCCAGTCTGGTTAAACCCAGGATGGATCGTAGGCAGGCCAGCCTAAATGTTTCTAACCGGCGAAGATGTTTTATTAGGGGGGTCCACGTTTCGCAAGCGTAGAGAATGGAGGGAATGACCGTGGCCGAGAAGACCTGAAGCTTAGTGCGGAGCGACAGACCAGGTACCTTCCACACAGCGTTACGCAACCGATGAAAAGATTATTGCCGCTCGACTGATTCGGAGCGAGACCTCTGCTGTTAAACTGGAGCCGGTCATAAGCACACTGCCCAGGTATGGGAAACTCTCCACTCTCTCCACAACTGCCCCATCACCGATTGGGAGTTGTGGGGGTGGAGTGTCCGATGGTACAAAATACCCAGGCAGGTGCTTAGTTTTGGTTGGGCTGATGGTAAGGCCCCACCTCTTAGTGGCACGCTCCAGTCTTAGCAGCAGCATCTCCAACTCCTCCTCTGAATGAGCAGCTATTACCAAATCAGCATACATAACGTGGTTGAGCAATAGGGAGCCATCCCTTGACCGCACCCGGGCGTCGATCAGCCTCCCATTATATCTGTACCATATGGAGATTCCCCCGGTACAGCTATTGAAGGCTTCACGAACTACGTGGTCAAAATAGATGTTAAATAATGTGGGAGCCAGAGGACATCCCTGTTGCACCCCAAGGTTAACAGGGAATGGCTCTGACTCCCGGCCACGTAGTTTTACCCGGGCCCGCTCACCATCATGAAGGTCCTTAATGATCGTGAGCAGAGGGTCAGGTACTCCAAAAGCACGAAGAACAGCCCAGAGCCCAGGCCTACTGATGGTATCATAGGCCTTGACCAGGTCAATAAAGCAGAGATGTAGGTCTTGTTGGAATTCCCTACACCTCTGCTGTAGCAGACGGACAGAAAATATGGCATCTGTGCAGGACCGCCCTTTCCTGAAACCGCATTGGGGCTCCGCAAGCCTCTCCTCAGCGTGCGTGGCAAGGCGATGTTGAATAATCCTTGCCAAGACCTTTCCCGGCACACTGAGGAGTGAGATGCCCCTGTAGTTGTTACAGTCTGTGTGGTCCCCCTTCTTAAAAAGGGGGACCACCAGGGCATCCTTCCAATCCTGCGGAACCCGTCCAGTGGTCCAGACTGTTGTTATGATGTCATATAGGGCAGTCTGTGCACAAACGCCGCCCTCCCTCAGCATTTCGCTTGGGAGATCATCTCTGCCCGCTGCCTTTCCTGGTCTTAGACTCCGGATCGCCTTCAGTACTTCCTCAACAGATGGCACCTCAGCCAGCCACTCACAGGGGGCGACTTCTTCCAATATTTAAGGCACCGCAGCCTCAGCAGGGTCATCCTCACTTTGTGCCACGATGTTTTCCTGGCTGAGGGATTTTCCCTCCCCCAGGACCTCACAGAAATGCTCAGCAAATCTGCAAACCTGTTCCTGGGGGTCGGAGATTGGGTCACCGTTTTTTCTCCTAATGATGGTAATAGGCGTGGCGCTGCAGGTTACTTTTTTGATGGAGTTAAATAGAGATTTGTGATCACGGGCCACTGAGGCAGACTCCATCTCCTCAGCAACCCGCGACCACCACCCATCCTTGCAGCGCCTCACGGCTCTCCGAACCTCCGAGCGAAGGCTGCGGTAAGCCTCCTCATTCTCTGACGTGGGATTCTGTAGCCGATGACAGTGGGCCTGTCGCTTTTTCTCAACCATCCTGAACACCTCCTCTGTCAGCCAGGGTCTCTGGGGAGGTCTGGACCACGTACCCAAAGCAGCCATTGCAGCTGCATGAGTCACAGTCCTAAACCTCACCCATTTACCCTCGACATCAGGAGGAGTCGGGGACGATGCCAATCCCAGCCGCAAGCGATGATGAAATTCTCGCTTGCAAATTTCATCAGATAACTGAGACCAGGCCACTTTAGGTTGGAATGGGGTCTTGGGTGTACACCCACCACCGGAGTGGAAGAATGGCAGGCGCATCTTACAGATGACTAGTCGATGGTCAGAGGGCAGATCAGCTCCACGGTAGGTCCTGGTGTCAAGGACATGGGCTCGCATCCGCTGGTCCGTCACTATGTAGTCCAGCAGATGTTCTTACTTGGACCCGGCATGCATCCATGATGTTGTGTGGATGCGCCGATGCCGGAACAGCATGTTGGTAATTACAAGCCCATGGGCTGCACAAAAATCTAGCAGCCTCCTACCATTGTTATTGAGCTGATCTGGCTCATGCCCTCCAATCACTCCAGACCAGGTGCCAGTATCATGACCAACTCGGGCATTGAAGTCACCCAACATGATGACTCTATTCCGAGGGGCCACTTTAGCCAGCACCTGTGACAGGAGGTCATAGAAGGCATCTGACTCATCGGCTTTGCCTGCATCCCTCCACGGATGTTCATCTTCGGTGGGGGCATAAGTAACCACGACCACCATTCCTCGCCTCCGGTTGATGGGAAGGCGAGCCAAAAGTAGCCTGGGACTTACAGCTTCCCACACCTCACCGCCACGCTCCCACGCCCCCTTCATTCTTTTGTTCAAAAGAAGAGCCACACCCTGTTGTTTGGCAGTCTGCTGCCCCGAGTAGAGGACTGTCCGCCCCTCATGGTGGCAGGAGCCAGAGCCGGTCCACCGGACCTCCTGAATGCCACACAGAACCAGGCGGTACTGGTCAAGCTCCCGACAGAGGAGTGGCAGCCTCTCCTCCGCAGTGAGCGTTCGAACATTCCACGTGGCCACTCGTAGTGGCTTTTCGTTGTTTCTGGAGGAGCCCCGAGGGTAGATTTTCAATCTCCTGGCTCCGCCAATTGGGGTTTGGCCAGGAAACGTTATTAACGCCTGGCCCCCTGGGGCCTCCGGCACAAGCTTATTAGTTACATATTTCAGTTTAACTCGTGGTTTAGTGGTAATTAATTGAAGGTGGAGGGGTTACCAGCCCCTCGCACCCGTCCAGAGCCCAACCACACACACACACACACCCCAACCATACACACACACACCAACACATCCACACCAACACACCCCCACAACACACATACACCCCCACACCCCCACAACACACCCCCCCACACCCCCGACAACACACCCCCCCACACCCCCACAACACACCAAACCCCACACCCACACACACCAACCACACACCCACACACACCAACCACACACCCACACACACACCAACCACACACCCACACACACACCAACCACACACCCACACACACACCAACCACACACCCACACACACACCAACCACACACCCACACACACCAACCACACACCCACACACACCAACCACACACCCACACACACCAACCACACACCCACACACACCAACCACACACCCACACACACACCCACACACACCAACCACACACACCAACCCCACACCCACACACACACCAACCACACACCCACCACACACACACCCACACCAACCACACACCCACACACACACACCAACCACACCACACACCCCACACCAACCACACCACACACCACCACCACACACCAACCACACACCCACACACCAACCACACACCCACACACCAACCACACACCCACACACACACCAACCACACACACACCCACACCCCAACACACACACAACCACAGCTTTCTTGGCGTTCTCTCGAGCGACACGATTGTTCCACTGGCAAGCAAACACACAACGCAAACACACCACACACAACGCAAACACACCACACACAACGCAAACACACCACACACAACGCAAACACACCACACACAACGCAAACACACCACACACAACGCAAACACACCACACACAACGCAAACACACCACACACAACGCAAACACACCACACACAACGCAAACACACCACACACAACGCAAACACACCATACACAACAACACACTGGAGAAGAGATGGAGTGATGTGATACAGGAGGATGTGGAGCTGAGTGGATTTGCCGACGACCGGTGCCAGCGGTGTCAAGATCGGCCTCTGTGGAGGAGGCTCGTGAAGGACGCTGCTACTGGGGCAGCCACTCAGCAGAAAATAAAACTTAGTTTAGTTAAAAGTTTTCTCTCTCTCTCTAATACGACAATCCCTCGCCAATCGCGGGGGTTACATCACTGAAAACCGCCGCGGTTGGCAATACTCAAGCCTTATGGGAAATAGGGGGTTAGGGAAACACACATACAATACACAACGTCATTTTAAAAATGTTCAAATAACACAATAAAAAACAATAATGTCATTTACCTTTAATACTGAGGGTTGAAGTCCATGGTGATGATGAAGGTAATGGTGGTTGTTCGAAGTATCGTGATCTGTGGGCCACGCTGGCATGGAGTTGGGCTGGGTACTTTGTGTGGCATTGCATGGAATGTGGACGCACACCCAGGATGATTGCTTGGGCGGTGTGGCTACTCCCGAGGGAGTGTGGTAATTGGGGAACAGCTGGATTATATATTGCAATAATTAACTAAAGGAGTGCTCTTCGTCTATATAAAGGGGGGGGGCAACACTTTATCCCTATACAGATGGAAACAGGTGGCGATTAGTCCACTTGTACTGCCTTCCTTCTGACGAGCCTGGGTATGGCATCAGAAATGAGCCACGCTTATTCCACTTCTCTCTTGTGCACAATGACAATTGCCAGTAAATGTGTTGCATTCTAGTGCTAATGATGAATTATCTTCTTTGGTTCTTTCGGTAAAGTCACGTAGAATGAGAATAAAATAATAAATAATAAAATGATAAAATAAAACTTTTGTGTTATTTTGTTTTATTATTTTATTCTCATTCTACGTGACTTTACCGAAAGAACCAAAGAAGATTAATCCTTGCAGTCACGAAAGATTTAAATAAAAAAATGATGAATTAATTTCATGCAGCGTCGTCCGTGCAAATTGCATTTCACAATTGCGGAGAAGTCACATACAAGCTGGATGGCTGCCAGGCAGAAATCCAACATTGTATCTGCAGTTCTCATATATTAAGATGTTTATTTAGTCAATAAGTGTTCATACTTGCGTGAGCAAACCGGATCACCCAGAGAAACACAACGAATGGCAAGACATAGTACTGCACCACTAGGGTTATTTGAAAGAGATAATTATCTCTCTTGCCCCATGGGTGAGAAATTTGGCATAAATCATTGTTAGAAAGTGGCCAACCCTACAAATTGACATGCCTGCTTGACAGTCATGTGGACATGTTGCAGCGAACATAGACTGGATTTGAATATCAGTTAGGTGTACTGAGAAGCACTAACGGTGCACATGTGTAAGTATGCTGCCGTCATATAAAACTCTGTAAGGCTACAATGAAAGGTGGGAGTACGGCACGGAACAAAATTTTTGTATGGATCAGGATGTTTTGAATCTTAAGTACGGTAGAATATGACGATACGATATTTTTTCATCCGGTACGGTACGGGACAAGTACGTTTATTTTTCGTACCATTTCTTATGCTCGTTTCGTACCAACTCAGATAATTAATTATTGAAGTTAAGCTTTCGGTAAAGTCACGTAGGTATAAAATAAAATAAATCACGATGTTTCGGGCGCAACACAAGCGGCGTCTGTCATCAGATGATGTATGCCAGATGATGACGGACGCTTGTGTTGTGCCCGAAACGTCGTGATTTATTTTATTTTATTTCTACCTACGTGACTTTACCGAAAGAACCAACGAGTGTGGATTCCTGCAGTCACGAAAGCTTCAAATCAAGATTAAGTTAAGCTTCTAAATCTGATTATTATTGGACTTTCTTGTCTTTAAAGGCGGCTACAATAATTTAACACATCAGTTATCAAAAACTAAATTTGCAGGAAAGATTCCTTTCTCAAAATGCCACTTACCATTGATAACGGATGATAAATTTAAGCGTTTTTAATAAACATTTCGAAATTATGTGATTTTGGATTAAAATGTTTATTGTCAATTCGAGCAAAAAATCTGACATGTTTACAGAATATTTTTTTATGTTTTTTAAGAGTAGGTTTTCTACAAAAAAACATTAGTCAAGCTTAACAATAAACTATAAGCTTACATGTCAACTATCCCTTATTTAAATCTAGATGAAAAGTACAAGTATTAAATGTTGCACTCAACGATGCATTGCTGGGCCCGATTCCCATTTAAATGAGGCGGTGGAATCAAAATTGTTGTCACCACAAGGTGGCGATGCGGTCTCACGTTGTCAACATCCACACTCAAATCCCTTCCAGGTCAGAGGCGAGGGTCCGCCTTGAGTTACACCCGAGACTCTCAGAGGGAGGATCGTGGGGAGTGAAATAGGAGCGTTGGAGAACGAGCAGGAGAAGAAGGGAGGAGGAGGAGAAGGACAACCACGACCATGCACGGAACTCGAGATGGAACCCGTACCAAGGAGAAGAAGCGGTAAGTGTCTGGCAGGCGTTCAGGTGTCATAATATGCACACTGCGGGTGTGATTGGTTGGGTGGCTCACGAAGGAGATTCACGATGGCCGTGGAGATCCTGCGTTCGAATCCGGGTTCTGGTACGAGTGGGCTCTCAAGCGTTAACGAATTTCTGATCTCAGGTCGGTGACCGATCAATCACTTTAATCGGATCGTAACTTGATTCTTTATCTTGTCTGATATCAAACCCCTGGACGTTGAGTTTTTTTTGTTAAGATTAAACATCACCTGGCAGGGCTTTTGAGAACTTGTGCGCCACCTAGCGTGGGTAAGGGACGATTGGAAGTGACCCCGACTGCTTGTGGGATGTCACCTTCAAGACGCTTGTGTTCGGCACAATGTAGTGCACTGCTCACTGTTGTACATTTCGATTTAAAGCTTTCGTGACTGCAATGATTCATCTTCTTTGGTTCTTTCGGTAAAGTAGAATGATAATAAAATAATAAATTGATAAAATAAAATAACACATTAATATTCTCACGACGTTTCGGCCACAACACAAGCGGCCTTCATCAGGTGAAGGGGGCGAGACTGTCTGGTAGGACAGCGCTGGAGTGAAAGAGCCACGTTCAGATACGGCCTTTAAGCTGTGTGAGAGGAACAAAGCGCCTTAGAGACTCTAAGTCTCGCCCCCTTCACCTGATGAAGGCCGCTTGTGTTGTGGCCGAAACGTCGTGAGAATATTATTGTGTTATTTTATTTTATCAATTTATTATTTTATTATCATTCTACGTGACTTTACCGAAAGAACCAAAGAAGATGTTGTACATTTCTTCGTCTCTTGACATTACGCCACCGACAGCCCAATTGGAATATATCACAGTTAGGAAGAAGAGATAAGTGGCCAAGTGTTCTGTTCTCAACATGTCACGTTGACGATGAGACACTCGAGTGTCAAATCGTGTCGTTACCTCGTCAACGTTTTTTGCAGCGGGGGGGGGGGGGAGAGTCTCCTGTAAATCACAGAACATTTCCTAGAAATGATGGATGATGCCACTGAATTTGCAGCACGACTGTGGAGAGCATAACAAACAAGAGTGGGGATGGTGACGACTTCACTATGTCTTCCAATACACGAGTTGGACGTCTTTCCAGGAAAGTAGTTATTGTGCAGGAAAAAAAACATGTGTGAAGCTAAGCCAAGTGCTTTCTTCATACCAGCTGTATTAAATGCATGCTCTACCAATATGCAGGGGCTATACATCATGGAATATGATGCACTAACACATTCGGTTAAAGGCCTTTCCAATGCTGGATGAAGGGTGCCCCCATGCAGTGTCAGTCATGGGGCTGTGTGACCATACTTCACCCCCATGGTCAGTGTGGACGAGGTGTGAACGAGTGGAGAGAGGGGCCGTGACCGGTTCAGATACGTGTCGCCACTGGCGTTAGCCGTGGCTGGAAATTGAACTCAGGAATGCTGGGTTTGAAGCACAGTGCACTAACCACTTGGCCAACGCTCCACCTAATACGTTTAACATTGTGATATATAACACGTTAATAATAAGTACTCAGGAACTTATATATAGATAATTTCCTATTTATATGCCTTTTTGGCTGTCTCAGCCAAAGTCAAATCCAGTGTCTGATAATTGCAACCATGTGATGATGTCCATGTTTTAGTAGCAGGCGTTTCCATATCGGTGAATGTGTTGCTTGTGCTTATGTCCTAGGCCCAAGCTGGACATGGTGTTTGTGAGGAGGTTTGGAAAGTATGGATCCATCCTTTTTCCAAACGTCACGTCTACAAGCTCCCTCATGTTTGCCACGCTGTTGGTCATCGGCCTAATCGGTGAGAATGATTTAGACTGTAGGAATCCGATGAGCTGTGAAGCTCTTTTTCACTGATGTCCAGTAGGGGCAGATAAGCAAGTTACGTAGGGGTAGGTCAGCAAGTAAGAATTACAGAAAACATTGTTCCATGAGTCAATGCCAATTCTAGTCCCCTTCCGCAAGCCATCCGCTTGCATGTCTCATTCAGTAGGTTTTTTTCATTTCTATACTTGAAGAATGTTAATATGAACAAGATCACAATGTCAAATCGCCAATCGAAAAAAATGTAAATGTATTCAATTGTATTTAAAGATAGTAAATTAAACTTACTTTTTAATATGATTGGAAACACATTTTATTGGTCGTGTTTTGAGATTCATTTCGGCTTTAGCTTATTCGGGGCTGTACTTTGGCAATGTTAAAATGCACCTGTGTGATATGATTATTTACAGTTGATGCAAGTTATATACTCGTGTTACGTTTAGGGTAATTGAGCAAACTAAAGTTTTCAGCGGAGGAATATAAAAAACGAGCACCAATTAAAACTATATTATGAAAATGAGACTAACATTTTTCTAATCTAGAAACCAGTTAATGATCTTGCAGTGTAACAAGCAATCAAATAATTGTAATGGGTATATATTTATATGCGGACTTAATGTTATTTAAATAACATGTGGCAGCTGAACCCATTAACTGAAAAATGCATTCTGGGTACCCACAGGGCAGCTGATCATTTATCAGGTGGGCGTCATCCCAAGCCAATTCTACGAGATCCTGGGCAGCAAAGACTTTCCTAAGTTCAAGGGGCTGGTCGCCATCGCTGTTATCCTCATTGCTATCAACTCATTCGTAAATATTGCATTTTTCACTGTGCGAATGGTCTTTGCATCTCGAGTGCTAATCGGTGAACTGTTGTTGGTGCTTGTCCCTGGATGCTGTGTCCTGGTTTGTGCTGCAGTGGTGTTTTACTCCTCCCTCTTGTTTCCCTTGCGAAACCACCGCACGCCCCTCATTATATCCGAATGTCGTTAAATTTGTAGTCTTGAGATACAGTTGCATTCATTTTGGTTTTTTTCACCATCTCCACACGTGATACATTCAAGTGTTTGTGTCCTCTGAGGCTCTTGAAGAGCACAACATGCCTGTTTTGGCCCTTCCGTCTGTGCTTGCAGCTGAAGAGCTGTGACCAGTACGTGTCAAGCCTTCTGTACCTCACCTGGAGACGAAGTGTCACCGAGCACCTGCACGATCTCTACTTCCGCGGACGGGCCTACTATAGGCTCAACACGCTGCAGGATGCTCTCGACAACCCGTGAGCGGCAGACTGTCTTTTTGTCAAAACGATTATATGATCGTTGAGCAAGACCCCAAACATCGCACCTCCTGGTTTTGACATCCCTCGAAGTCACCTGGTTTACCATCAACCGCGACTTTGGCCATGCAACCCAAACTATGGACTCGTATAGTAAACCACTGTAGTCTGCGCTCCTTCAGTGGAGAAGGCAGAGCAAAACTACACAAATTCTCTCCTGAAGCCTTCTCATGTCCAGCCGACCTCAACATTGGCATTTATATTGTGAACATATTGCCATACAGTTTAACACGTAGGCTTTCGCGACCAATATTATTCATAATAAAGGTTTTTGGGTTAGATCGCGTTATTTATGAATGCGTCGTACCCTCCACTACCCGACACGGCCAATCAGCAAAAAAAGTGTCACGTTGACAAAAGACAATTAGTTCACTACTTTAGCCCACTGGTGTGTTGAAGAGTGACTCCACAACATTTACAGTTTGAGTACGACGTTGCGCTGGTAATTACATCCAGCATCATCGGGCAATTCGCCAGAATGGTAAAGCCCTCACTTGCTCCCGGTCTTACATAGAGCAGCAGGGTGACGTCATCATTTAACTCATTCAGGTGCAGTGATTTGAGGCTTGGAAGCGTATTATTAAATAATACATGTTACCCTAATTTATACGGGAAACACATACTAATTAACGGATTACTAACGTAGCATATAATCACAATAACACATTACAACTAATTACTAATCTACAACACGTTACTAATCATAACCATTGACTGCTTACCAATCGATTATATAATTACAATACCCCCCCCCCCCCCCGCCTCAAATCACTACACCTGAATGAGTTAAATGATGAAGTCACCCTGCTGCTCTATTTAATACCGGGAGCAAGTGGAGAGGGCTTTACCATTCTGGCGAATTGCCCGATGATGGTGGATGTGATTACCAGCGAAACGTCGTACTCAAACTGTAAATGTTGTGGATTCACTCTTCAACACACCGGTGGGCTAAAGTAGTGAACTATTTGTCTTTTGTCAACGTGACACTTTTTTTGCTGATTGGCCGTGTTGGGTGGTGGAGGGTTACGACACATTTATAAATAACGCGATCTAACCCAAAAACCTTTATTATGAATATTGCCATACGTAAGAATAGAATTGTTAACTTAGAAGCTGTTTTAACCCTAAGGTTTTTACACTACGTGTAGTAGTGGTTAGGTAAAGTTAAATTTTACCAGGATATATAAATCAACATTAACTGAGGTCTTATTCCCAAGGGTGGCCTGGGTTAAATGGTAAGTTTGATTAAAATATAAGGGTAGTCATTCATGAGGCATAGTCAGCGAAGGACCGCTGACTGTGCACCAAAACACGTGACATCTTGCGACAGAATTCGCATAAACTGCTCTTGCTGCCATACCGGCACCTCGAGTGATTTGCTTGATCCACGTACCACAGGGGCGACCACGTGGGGGCGGGGGGGGGGTGATCACGAGTGCAATCACGGGGGCGGCGTCCTTTCTTTGAGGGTCGCAGTCCACTTCGAAGCTGAAGTACGCAATTTGCTGGAGTTTGCGCATCAATAAGGAAGAGTCCATCTCTACTTATTGTCCATCTAGAAATGCTCACTTTCCACTGGCTCGCCTTCTTAATTTTTCCGTCATCGTTGTTGTTTATATGGAAGTGCCTCGCACCTGCGTGGCAGCTCCGAAGGCGTGAAAAGTGTTTTAACATTGAAACTTCACACATGGTAGGCAACAGAAAAGCCCAAAAGAACATCACATTGAGCATGAGCAACACAGAATACATAGCCTGAAGATATTTCACTCATGACCGTGGAATTACAGGGCTTATGTGCATAAATAAGTGAAGTAATCATGTCAACTACTTTAGTATTGTGAGACAGTTATGGCAGAAACCAACATTTTTTACAATACATTCCATAATTGAGAAGCAAAAACCTGCCAAAGCTCTATCAATTATTCCTAAATGTGGACATGGAATCTTGAAGGAATATCTTGTAATTACGTGTTTGTTTATGTTAATTCCCTTTAACAGTATCGTCTCAGATACTCCATTGTTGCGTTAAGCTGTTTGTGAGTAAGCATTTTAATATTTTAATTAGAACGTGCTCCTCCGTTGTTCTGCAGGGATCAGAGAATCAGCCAGGACGTGGAGAGGTTCTGCAAGCAGCTCAGCCTGATGGCCAGCAAGCTGCTGATATCGCCGTTCACTCTGTGCTACTATACATATCAGTGCTTCATCAGGTGCAGACACAATGCCAGCACGCTTTTCTGACCGCAGAGCCTTCAGCACCTCTCTATCATTGTGTTAATTTTGATCGTATTACCATACCCACCTATAGACCATTGTTGTCAGCTTTAACGCTCAAAATTGGCAAGCTTCTACATTACCTATGACCAAAAATATGATTTGTTCGTATCACATATGAACTGTCTTGCGAAAAATATAAGGAATCTCATTGGTTGCTCTTTCCAGCCTATTTATTAATAGTGTTATGTATAGCGCGAGCGAGCGAGCAGCCTGACCCTTTTCAGATATTCTCCACTCGCCTAAAGCCACTCGTCAGTCATCAACTCACCTGACCCTCACCACTCCCTAATTTGTAAAATGTAGTGGGGAACCAATTGAGATTCATCAGCTCCCCCTGCCTCCACGCACCCTTTCTCTAACGGCACAAGGCTGTCCGTTGTAGCTGTTTTGAAACGGGGCTGTGGTGGATTTTCAATCGGCCGTGTGAATGGGCAGCACCAGCACTGATACACTTTCAAACTCAGAAGAGCCCTCCGGACAACGATACATATACACGTACAAAGATGCCTACATACAGATTAGGAGCTTACAACGTAGATGTTACCTTCGGGGGATAGCCATTGATGGCCCATGCTCAATACTAACATCGGGAGTAGCAGCCGAAGGAGGAAACGCGATCGGGAGGATGTCTGCTGCAAAGCTGTGAAATCAGCTGACGTGCAAGCATGCTAGATGGATCGCTGCATTGCAGGACCATGTGAGATGGCAGCGGCCTGGTGAGGCCTTCATTAGGAATTTGATTGATCGTTGCGAATGATGTTGGTGACGACAGGGATACACTCTAAAGGCCCTGGTGGTTGTGCTCGTTTGTTGTGCGCAGCACAGGCTGGATCGGTCCCGTGAGCGTGTTCGCCTACTTCCTCGTGGGCACGGTGACCAACAAGCTGCTCATGGGGCCGATCATCTCCACTCTTGTCGCTCAGGAGAAGATGGAGGGAGACTTCCGGTTGGTGCATGTTATGACCCAGCCCTCTTTATTTTCCCCTCCATTAAGAGCGAATTACCAGATGATGGCGAAGAAGACACCGTAAATAAATAAATATATACGCACAATTTGGTCTTAATTTTTAACACGGAAAATTAGGAGTTGCTGCCACGATATAATGGTGAGCACACTAGACTTGCAATCCAGAGGTGTGGCAGTTGACAAATTGGGTAGATTTCTTAAATCCTCCCTGCCTCTGTCCGTACAGAAGTATAAATGTGTGCACCGGCAGATTGCATGTAGTGGGGTAAAGTGTGGATATTTCCACATCTTCCAAAATGTTTGGCTCGTGTAGAAGAGTAGGCCAGATACCATCTATAGGGGAACTGTAGTGGAGGCCCTTCCGCCAGCAGTGGCCTGAGCAGGCATTTGCAGCGCTGCACCTTTACCTTATTTATCTCTCACAGAAGTGTCCGGTGGTAACGTAAGAGTGACTGTCGAGAAGGTGTCTCGCCTGCTCACACTCCCAACTATGCTTATGTTCCGGTCGGATAGCTTCGAACTGGGGTCGGCAACCTGCAGCTCCGGAGCCAAATGTGGCCTCTTTAAGGACTCCATAATCCAGGTGTTTTTTTGGGCTTGGCAGTCTTTAAGGACTGCTTTGTGGACTGCATTGTAACGTTATTCACGTGAATTGCAGCTCTTGAAATATTAATTTTCTTACCGAATTCGAAAAAGACGGCTTTTTTTATTTTGGTTACCGACCCCTGGCTTAGATCATGTGACCTAATTTACTCCAGTAGGTCAATGAATCACGTGTTTTATGGGACCAATCTAAAAATGTATAACTTTCTGTAACACCATTGTAAAATATAATAGTTGTGCCTATGTTATGATTTACCAGGGTCTCCAAAAGGACAATGAATATGAATTGGTTTTCATTTAAATCACGATGTTTATGTAATAAAATATGCAAAACTATTAACTCACGTCTATTTTAGAAGTAACCCATTAACTGTTTGCCAGGTTTAAGCACATGGAGATCCGAGTGAATGCTGAATCGGCTGCTTTTTACAGGTACCGCCAAAGTCCAGCCACTTGCCCTTTGCACTTTCCTCTACACGTTGGCATTTATATGTACCAGGGTGTGCCTTGTATGCTTTCATTCTTCTCCACATGTACACCGAATGAAACTGTCTGGGTATTTGGTCACTCTATAATAACCAATTTTAAAAGTTGTATGCCACGTAAGGTCACGGTAAAAATAATTTTAAAAAAGATTATACCTGTAACTCTAGATTATGAACAGAAACTATCTAATTAGACTATCTTCTGGCCTCTAAATATTGAATAGATGCATTGAACTCAATCTCTTAAGATATTTCTCTAAATAACTATTCTAAAGTCAAAATGTCCTGTTTAAATGAGCATTGAGAGGGTGCTTATCTCTTGTTTAGAACCCAGAGGTAGTGCTGGATATTCCACATTCCTGTGGCAGGGGCAAAAACACCCTTAGAACAACCACTTTTGACTTCCCCACAAGTTTGTATTTAATTTTTATATCCTAGGGGAATGATTGGCTGAGTCAACCCCACAAGCCAGGATTTGAATTCACAATCGTCCGATTGGAAGTTGCTTGTTCTATTTCTGAGCGACCTGACTGGGTTAATGTTTTACTCCCTAACTATGTTATTTACCATTTAAATCCCACTGAGTGTTTTACCTCTGTTCCAGAGGTGACCTGGCCACATGTGATTGCTCATAGAATTGACTTAGCATATTTGGTCATTCATATTTGCCAAATAATGTAAAAACATGTTTCTAAATGTTAACGACCATTAAGAGATGCATACTTCAGAGTGCTGTCTCTGTCAGGGCCGGGAGAGTGGAGCACACTCGCACCAATGCCCGTCTACACCGCCTTCTCAGCACCCAACAGACGCTCATGAACAAGGAGTTCTGGTTGTACCGTGAGTGTCTCCACCACCATGATTCAGGCAGACAAAAACCTGGACATGTTCAACAACAACAAAAACTCCACTCAATAAGATCAACAGACTGCCCTTACCACTTCTTTCCTCGCACTGCTCGACTTTGGAATTTCCTCCCATCGTCTCTTTCCCCAGGTTATTATAAACTCTCTCGACTCAAGAAAAATATGAATTCTTACGTGTTACCTTATTCTCCGGATTTTAAGATACTCCGGAAAGTGGGGTGCACCCAAAACAAGTGCCCAGTGTCAATAAAGTTACGCAAATCCGGTCACACACACAGCTAACGGATTACGAGACGCACCCCCAACTTTGGCTTTCAATCGAGGGAAAATGGGTGCACCTTATATATAATGCAGGAAATAAAGAAACAAGCTATACCTTGCTGGCCGCTTGGGGGGGGGGTCTCTGCCCAGCAACCGTGATAAAAAAAGAGAATCATTCACACAGGGTTCAGAGCAGCCAGATGGACAGAGTGTGCAGCGGCCTCACACGGTGGCTCTTTGTTGCTGTTATCCTCTGGCGTGAATTGTTCTGCATCAAATTCCCAATGCCTGGAGACAAGCTTTTTCTCTTCAAGTACCACTTTAGCACGGAATTTTTATTTTTTATTTTACCAGGTAAAGCCCACCGAGCAAAATAGCTCTCTTTCAGAAGCGACTTTTGCCACAAATGGTAGCTCAACGATGTGGCTTATATTGTGGAAATGTATAGCAGCCAAATACTCTTAACTTATTTTTTGAAACGTGGAGGGAAAGACTGGACGACCAGGAGAAAAATCCACAACCACCAGGAGAACATGCAAACTCTTGTGAATGTGTGCTTTTCCTCTCAAGTGACCTAATTCATTGTCATCTTACATTTGAAAATCAGGTCTTCTTCTGACACAGTCCACAGAAAACTAGGAACTGATGGTTATCAATTTAAACTGGTAAATATTTATAGAAGCAACCAACTGTGATGGTCACAAGTGAGAAGAACTTGGATCGGTTGTTCGAATCTGTCTGATTTTTTCACATTCTGCTCGAGGGTCCCTGTGCCAACTGATACAATCTTATCCAGCAAAGGATAGCGAATAGTAAGAATAGCATAAATATCAGATGTACACATTATACGAATTTTTATAAATCACATTAAGATAAAAAATATATAAAAAAATGTAAATCTTAATTTTACTTATAATTGTCAATGTTAATTCGTGTTAGTAATTTGATTTTCTGAATGTGCTGTTGATGTTGACGCCATTTTTCAGTCACTGATTGCAATCGTTGCTTTCTGAGCGGTAGTCGCAGATGATTTTATTCTTAATTTGCATGTCTGATGAATCGCCTTGTGTCATATTTGCTGTTAACTCCCATTTGTGGTTAAGTCCCAACGATGTGCTCTGTTTTTTTTCTTGAAATATTTCCAATTTTGTGTTGCCCATGATCCGATTTGTAGATTAAAGCGTATTTAAATAAAGTTACAGCTGTCACATTGGGGCATATAATTAAGTCCGTTTGTAGTTTACTGCAGGAAAACATGCATTTTGCTACACTTCGCAAAACGAAAGCGTGCAAATTGGGCGAGCGTTAATTAACTTTTTTCATAGAAGGAGTTTGTGTTCTTCAGTGACTGTGCTACCCTGGTCACGCAATTATCCCATTCCAAGGATGCACCCTCAGGCTGAACTTTAGATGCCTTGTAATTTGTTTCATGAGCTACTTGAATGGTGCTCTTGTTGCGTTAGACGTAGGTACTGTTTTTTTTTCTCCAAATTACAAGGATTATCAGTTTAGGCCTGTTGATAAAGTAATCAACAAAGTATTGCAGTTCATTTCCTGGCCTATGTAGTAATGTAAGGATGGGCTGATTAGTCTGCTTAAATCGCTCCTTGCACCGATGATACATGTGTCAAATTGTTTGAGTGAGAATCGATTGTATGCTCCTTGTGAAAATTATATCCAGATTATATGCTCATGTTACATTTAGGCTAATGGAGCAAACAAAACAGTGAGAAACGAAGCAGATAAAAAAACCGAAACGAACAAGATAGGGAAAAAAGACAAATAAATCGCTTTCTAGAATCGTGAGCTGGAACTGGAGGCCAGGAAGGGGTCAGTGGAGATGTGGGGGGAGGGCGATGAATCTATCCGTGTCTGTCTCTCACTGTTTTTCCCAAATGGTGCATAACTGACCTGATATTGTACCTTATATATTGCTCACATTTTTAAGGCCTTCTGTGATGACAACATATTTACATTTTGATTTAAAGCTTTCGTGACTGCAGTAATTCATATTCTTAGTTATTTCGGTAAAGTCACGTTGAAGGGAAACGTCGTGAGAATTTTTATTGTTTTATATATATTTTATTATTTTATTGTTTCCCTTCAACGTGACTTTACCGAAAGAACTAAGGATATATATATATTTCCATTTACTTCATGAATATGGATTGTGCCTTAAAATCGTCAGAAAGTGTCAGCTTATTTTTTTTCCTATTTGAAATACCAGAAGCTATGTGACGTGGGTTGGTTTCGAATACGACATACGCGTTGTTGCTGCCTTCCACAGTGGCGGTGAATATGTTTGACTACATGGGCAGCATCCTAAGTTACGTCGTCATCGCCATCCCAATTTTTGCCGGCGTCTACGACCACCTGAGCCCCTCCGAGCTCAGCGCACTCGTCAGCAAGGTGAGCCTTGGCTGGCGCAGTAGCCACAGCGCACTGCTGCCCGTAGGGAGCGGTAGCGCAGCAGAGTCTCACACTGCGCTACGAACTCGGTGACGTGAGTTCGTTTTACATGGTCGCCAACATCGGTGGCGAACATTTTAACCGGTCACAAGCCCTCCTCGGTCGACTCCCATCGTAAATGAGTACCTGGGGCTGTGTGTAAACGCAATGGCGGAGACAGGATTTTCAGGTAGGGAGGGGGCAACCCCTCCAGCAATGAAACATGATAGAGGAGTTGTTAGTAAGTGAGGACTTGTCCCTTGCTTTTTATTTGACGCGTGTGCGGCGATGGCGCAGCCATCGTTCAAGGGTCGAATTCGAACCGCGTTGTGTGATCGGCATCGCGCTCGCTGAAGGTGAATGCCTTCAGGGAAGTCGTGTACTGTATACGCAACTGCACACAATTCTGCGAGTCACTTATAACTGCTTTGCCGTTACTTGTTGCCAATTATGGACTCAGACTATTGTCCTATCATCTCATAGAGTCCCTGGCACATAATAATATGCTACACAGTGGCAATGGGGGTCGCAAAATGCCGATTTATTACTAATAAACCCCAATGATCTGATCGAAATTAGGGATTTCGATCGGATCATTGGAGGAGCACGTGTCACCCCCCCCCCCCCCCCCCCACTGGCTCTGCCAATGTGTAAACGTCACCATACGGGGGGGCGAAAGAGACCGAAAGGCTTGCCACACCACCCCTCGTGCGCCTTGCTGGGCTTAATAGGTGCTCACGAACAGCACTTGCCCCAACATTTTGTCCGGTTACGAGGAGGGTCTTTGTTGGTCGGTCTGTAGCAATGTGAATACGTTGACCGCGGATGTAGTCTTTCTAAAATCTTTTCAACGTTACACTTTTCCATTTACCCAGCAGTGCTGATATGTTTTCGATGATGGCTTAGTATTTTTCAGCTCTCCAGCATAAATTCCATTTTGGAGGGGGTGGAGAGGGGGTGGTTTGCAATTTGTAAGTTGTTTCACATAAGTAGAGATGCCACTCATAAGGAGGTGAAGATCTTACTTAAAATGCATTTCGACTAATCAGGCTTTAATGAATAATTTGCATTTTCTTTTTTTAAGTTCAATTTCCAGGAACTTGTCTGCTTCCAGCTCAAATGACAAAAGATTAGAACGAGAGTACTGGATGATTATGCAGATTATGCCAGAGAGCAGACGATCATGCAGATTACGTATGGAGCAGACCGATGACTTCCCCTAATGTGATGTTTTCCAGAGGCTTGCAATGTGCATGCTTTACCACGAGAATTTACATAAATTAGTGGCCCCACTCTTTAATTTCTTCTCTGATTAGGCGGAGGCATAAGCCGGCAATCAGGGACATGGGCTTCTGTGCCACCCCCCTACAAGCCCCACCAGCTTGCCACCCAGATGAGAGCCCAAACAAAGCTTTTTCCGACCCCTCACTAATGAGAGAACTCGCCCAGTTATGGCTAGCCACTGCAAGCAGCTGTCATGTCTTCAAAACTAGGTTGTGTTAAAGGAGAAAATAAATTTTAAAAAACACGTAGATTAAATTGGATCTGTGCTGTCCTCGACCGAATTAAAATGCAGCGTTTAACATGTCTGTGTTTGTCTTTTTTGACAGAATGCTTTTGTATGCATCTACCTCATCAATTGCTTCAGCCAGCTGATCGACCTGTCTAGCAAGCTGTCAGATGTGGCTGGATACACGCACAGGTTTCTCGCATTATGATATCTGCTTTTCCCATTAGAACATTTTCCCCTTGCAATTTGAAGTCTATATTATACCACAGTAGAAAAGCTTGGATTGTCTTCCCTGCTGGTCCTAGAGTTAGGCTTGAAGGATCAACGTATGTCACAGTGTGAGCAGTGCAGCAATCTCAATAGTTTCACTGTACATCTGTGTTCCCAGATGTACTCGCACTGACCATCGTGGTGGTTAAGTATGGTCAAATTCCCCCCCCCCCCACAACCAGCACAACGTTGAAGGACCTCATCCGGCAGTGGATTGACAAAAAGAGCCATAAACCTATGCAAGGCACACTCAGTAATTTACATCAGGCAGCACGACAATTCCACGCATCACACGTAGAAGTGCGTCGTTATCTGCTGGTTGCATGAATGTCGTGTTAAGCAACAGCTGCCTCATCTGTTCAGGATTGGAGAGCTGCAGGAGGTATTGCTGGAGCCGACAGATGCCCCCAACGATAAGTGGGATCCAACCCGGGAGGCATCGTGGGATTTTGAGAGGTGAGAGCACTCAGACTAGAACCACTCCCACCCCTCCTCTACACATTCAGAATCGAGAAAAAACCTGCAAAGTTTCAGCACCTTTCTGCAAAGCAAGACTATAATTTCGTCCTTTTTTTTGCCAAGTTTTATCCCGATTGTGCTATCGGTGTCATGTCATAAAACGATAAATCTATTCGGAGCTCTCTCCCAGCATGTGAAATGGCTCACAGAAGGGGATATCACAGAACTACTTCTGAGATCCCTTAACGTGTTCTCTGATCCACACACCAGGGGGCAGTATTTTCCCACTTTTGCAACAGAGCAATGTTTGTTACAGGAATTTTTTTCTAAATCTCAGACATGGCATTTCGCCCAAATTTTATATGATGGTCTTTTGTAGTCATTGTTGCCTGGACAGAAACCATCAACTCTCTACACTGAAAAACTCTGTTTAATCACAGGTGGCTACATTAATTCGAACCCAAGACCTCAATGGTACCAGCTCAATGCTCTAACCTCTAGACTGTCTAGAAGCTCTAATAATACTTTCATTTAAAATAATCATTCAAATTTATAATGCGCATTCCATCCTAGGATCCCAATGCACAACGCATGAAAAGCAGGAAACAAAAACAGAGCCAGGGAAACCGACCAAACTAAAGAGGGAAGGCCAGTTTAAAGAGATGGTTTTTCAAAGCAGACTAAAATATATCTACTGACTCTGATTGCCTGATTTCAAATGGCAAGGCATTGCATAGCTTGGGTGCCACGCTACGAAGAGACAGATCACCAAGGATGCATCTTAAAAATGATGGTGATAACTTTTGTTGTGACTCATGCCTGTGATATTATTATTCAAGACATTTTGTGATCTCTAATAGGCCCCTGTCTGACTTGGCGATCAGCTTGACTTCCCTGTGTGTGGTGCGTGTGTGTGCCTGCGTACAGCTGTCAGTGTGAGAGATGCAACACGGAGGGGATGGAGGCAAGGCCCCTGGCAAGCGCCACTAAGCTGAGGTATCTAGGGTTGCCGCTAATCGACGTGCTGAGGTACATCGCCAGGTGCAGGGGGAAGGCTAGCACAGAGAGTCGTGTGAGCTGCATGTAGATTCTATCCCCTGCCCCAAATGCCCACGATATTTAATGTGGCGTTGAAATAAACCACTTGTGCATTTTATTGGCATGAAATCCAATTGTTTTGGTACATTTTCTTTTCACATTTTCGAACGCACGGTACACTTCCGACAATAACATTTTGCCCGAGGTTACACCTTTATACATATCCTGAATGTAAGTGTACATTCTGGAAGTTTTAAAGGGTTGGTAGAATTTTTTTTTATAAACGCACAAAGGGTTGGGGGGAAAGGGAGGGGTGTTCGGAGTTGAAATGTTGTATTCTTTACTGTTTTCAAATACTACCAATCATAGCAATGTGTTTACAAGTATAAAAGTGAAATTGTATGCGTCATAGATTCAAGTGCCAATTTTAAACGTATGCAATAGGATCACAGTTTCAATATGTTACACATACCATGAGGTACCTGGTAACTACAAAATTGGATGTGTATTGGAAAAAATTGGTGTTTTCACGTGCATAATATAATATTTGAAACAATATGCAGTGTATCCATTTACTGTTCAACCACACATCCACGTGTATGTTTGTGCGTGCAGTCATCAATATGGGGTGCATTAGCACAGTGGTTAGTGCACTGCCCTACAAACCCGGTAGCCGCAGTTCAATTCCCACTCATGATCAATAACAGTGAAACATATTTGAACCAAACCTAGGCCTCCGCGAGGTCGACTCAGCCTTAGATGAGTATGCTGCAGGCATGGTGTTGGCCACCGCCCCCCCCCCCCCCCCCCCCCCCCCACCGTGTGCTATACCAGCCTTCATAGGTGCTCGCTAACAGTACTTGCCCCAACAGTCTGTTGAGGCTATATGGGGGATCTTTGTCTTTGCAGCGTCATTGAGGCGTGGGACGAGGTGGCGAAGGACGCCTTTGTGCTAGACTGCGTGTCCTACAGCACTCCCTCTGGCACCGAAGCTCTCGTGCAGGACCTGTCTCTCCAGGTCGCCTGGGGCCAGAACATCCTGGTGGTGGGAAACACGGGCACGGGGAAAACCACGCTCCTCCGTGTGCTCAACGGCCTATGGCCTACCCTAAAAGGCGAGCATGGCGGACGGCGGCAGTGTCTGCTCCCCAACCGTAGCTGTTTCGCATCGGTTGATTGAAATCTGTTCTTACTCTCGCAATACATACATTTGAATCCCACGTGTAAGAATATTGTTATGTAGTATGCAGTTGGTTGGTGAGTGCAGAACCAAGATCTTGGCTGGTAATGGTGGTTATGATGCAATTGGTTCATGAGAAATCTGCAGGGTCATAGACACCTTGTATCCACTGTAGGTTTTTCTACATGTGTTACAGTAGCACATGATTAAATTGAATGGAGATCCTGAATTGTGACAATGAATCAAACTGAAATGGGGGGTGAATCATTGCTTACGTTTTGTTTAGCCAAACAATCATTTCTTGCATTTGGCCGTTTTACCTTTAACAAAGTTGAGTTTTCAAATGAAGTAACGTGTATTGTACATGTCGTTTTATTGCTAATATGTTCTATTTGTTTGCCATTGATATTAATTTATTTTTGGTTAGCTATGCCAGGATTTAGGACAAGATTCTTGTCCTGTGAAAGCTGTGGGTCACTTATGTGCCGTGGCGTTCATCTCAGGAGGGAAGCTCGGTGCTTTATATTCTACAGCATCTTGTGCTTAACCACCGATGTGTGCATTGTGAGCGCGGTGTCGTGTAGGTTCTGTCCACATGAGGACCTGCTTTGGGCCACGGGGAATTATCTTCTTGCCGCAGAAGCCTTACTTCACTGACGGGACCCTCCGTGAGCAGGTCCATTGCTTTGCAGTCACTCGCCCCGATCTCTCATGAAATAATTGTTTGGTGACACTGCATTGGCAGTGGTCAACACATTTGTAAGTAGCACTGGATGCCATAAAAGGGAAAACATGTAATAGGTGACGTTTCGGGCAATGAGCCTTTCTTCACAGCAAATAAATAGAGAGGCCAGAGAGACAGAGTGAATAAGAGATGGAGACTGTTTACATGGAAATGTATTTACCGAGTGTTGGGTTATTAATCGGCTGTGTCGGGTGGAGGGCTTTACAACACGTTTTACTTATGCGATCTGACCAATGTATCAATTGGGAATTACAACAATGGAGTTTGCTTGCACTGCCCTCTGCTGGCAATGTAGGCTCTGCAGTGGCCTACAACACCTGTTTTATTCGCAGTAGTCACCCATCCAAGCACTATTAAGCCTCGGTCCTCTTTTTATGTTGTACCCTTTTGAACCAGCTTGCTTAATCCACGATGTTCTCTTTGCTGTAGGTCATTTACCCATTGAAGGAGATGTACCCTGTTACTGGTAAGCAGGCTTTTTTACGAGAGGTAGAATTGTTATGGTTACTTATATGAGGCCTACAGATCTTGTCGATGATACCACCACTTCTTTTAGACATTGCACAACCTCTCAATGACCCATGCATTTATTGGCTTGTAACATTATGACTTACACAAATGTGGAGTTTCCATTGTGATCATGTCATACAGGTGTTGTTATTTCCTTTCACATACTTTTAATAAGCGCCTATGTACGTACATTCCTAATGAAAATGGATATGTCTGGTTGTCATTCTATTTTGTGTTTTAATCCAGCCAGGTGGCTCAGCGCAATGTGCAAGCAGCTCACAATCAGACGGTTGCAAATTAAATCCTGCTTGCAGATTGACTCAACCCATCATATCTCCAGGGTCGATAAAAATAAGTATCACTTGATCGGAGAAGTCAATCCCCGCCATAGGGATGCGGCTTTCCACCACTGGCTCAGGGCTGTAAACATGAGCTAAGCACTGGCTCAATGCCCGTTTGAGCAGACAGTCACTCTGATCATGTGTGTTTAAGAACACCTTGAATTAACCTTCATGTCCGGTCTGCCAGAAGATTTTGATGACAAGAGGATTTTACACTTTCTGGACTGCGTCGGGCTGGTGAGCAGTACCCCCGCGCCTCTTGCAACACACGGACCCTAACCCTGGGTGCAGGGCTTACACTTTCGCTTGCAAGAGTGCAGTTTAATGAACACTGTCGCCTGATTAAGCTAGTTGTAATTTCTGGCGAAACGTCGTATTCAGATTGTAAATGCTGTGGCTTGGCTCTCCAACACACCGGTGTGCTGTACTAGTGACGAATTGGCACGTTCTGTTTACGTGACAACCCTTACTAGTTGGCTGTCGGGTGGTGGCTTGTTTTAATGACACATTTATATATTTACGCTATCTAACCCAAAAAACCTCTTATTAATTAACACTGCCTGGTCCACTAGTGGAGAATGCTGTGTGCGCAATAGGGCAAAGTAGATCTGTTACAGCTGCGCGATAGTTCTTGTGTAACACACCAGCTGTTGAAGGGCTTTGTCAGAACACAATCTACAAACCTCCCAGTGGCAAGGCGATTACTCTTGTGTAAATTACTGTTACCAAAGTAGATGAAGCCCCCTATTGTGCTGCGGTACGCAGATGCGATATTGCCCATTTGAATTACGCTTGCCACACGTTATTGTTGTTTTATGTGTGTTCTGTAGTCGGCCCTCCTGGACAGGACTGGTGGCCTTGACCAAGAAGTGGACTGGAGCTGGTGAGTGTGTGGCTTGTGGAGTTCATTATTCTCTCCAGCATTGCGAATCAGATGGCAATGCGATATACATGACCCTGCTAGCTCTTGTCTCGTAACTCTTCTTCATGTGCTGGGTGGTTAAACGACAATCGTGTTTTTTTTTGTTCGAGTGTGGTGGAGCCAATGTTTAATCCAGAGCCTTGAACCCCAGGAGTGGTGGATAATTACAATTTGTGAAACTTCCCAACCGACTGGGATAGGAGGTGCCCAGGCAATGGCAGTACAGCAAATGACTTCTGGGGCCCATCTGTGTTCATTTTTTAGTAGTATCCCCTCTCTGTGCGGTGGGCAGCACAAGAGAGGGCAGCAAGAGCCATTGTTGTACTGTGCTCCTATGCTCTTACTTTTGTGCCTTCACCAACCCACACTGACCAAAATGGTGGGGTATGGGGAGGCCCTCATCCATCACTGGATTGACAATGACTCTACATGTGCATGAATGTTGTCCTCTTGCACTTGTGGATTTTTTTTCTGGGTTGTCAATTTTTCCCCCGCTCACAAAACACTCTTGAACACGGATTTCACCAAACGTCCAGATTCAGGACACTCCTGAAAACATAAGTCTTGAGGCTCGCTGAGGCTTTCCTGGATAAATAAATATAATGATAATAACATTACTGTATTAACTTGTATCATCTGACAACATTCTGTGAGGCCCTCTTGGCTTTATGCGACAATGATAGCAAATGACACCGCTGTTATATTAGATGATGCCGTGTCATACTTATTTTTCTTGGTGGCAGTTTGATCCGGTGTGTATTCGCTGAACAGGTCCGATGCCCTTTCTCCTGGAGAGATGCAGAGACTGACTTTCGCAAGGCTCTTCTACCATCAGCCAACCTATGCAGGTATGAAAGCTGTTTATTGCACAGAGTGCCTTCCTCACCAAATTCATAATTACTGAGCTCTACAACAAAATGTCAACTATTTAGGAGAAAATACTTTAACTCCTATTTTGCTATCCCATCCTGCAATAGATATGTCATGGCTGACCATGAGTCCTATAGCGAGATCTGAAATGTCATCTTGTAATCGGTTCTCCACTTGGCTCATTATCCGTAAACATAATTTTAATTCACTCCAACTGCCAAAGCTGTTGACTGGAATGTCAGAACTTAACATCACACTGTAAAATATTGCTATACCTTCATACTCATCATTTGTAAATGTGGAATCGTGGTGTCGGATTCCTACCACTGGCTCTCAGAGTTATCAGAGGAGATTAACACAATCCCAAAACTTGTCTGAGCTTTGAGACACTAGCCTTGTTGGATCAGAATTGTCTCTAAATGACCCTCTCCTGATTTTATATTGCCTTGTGTCGTATCCTCCACCTCCGATGCTAAATCCCCAAAACACAAGTCCTGGACGAGGCGACGAGTGCGCTGACGGAGGACGTGGAGGGAGAGATGTACCGCATGTGCAAGCAGCTGGGCATGACGGTGCTTAGTGTGGGCCACCGCAGCAGCCTGGAGAAGGTGAGTATCGAGGAGAGCAGTCGGAGAGGGCAGCCAGCGAATACAGCCGGGGAGGGAAGCTGAGAAGGGAGGTGGGCCAATTACCGCAGGGCCCTCCACTAGGGAAAAAGCATCGTATCATCACCCATAGGCAAATTCTAGGGCCGATACACCAGGTGTCTCGCCGCTGCGTCTGCTTTATGAATGCTTTGCAACTTAGGATACAAGCGTTAATGCAATAACGTTGTCCGTCTCTGTAACAGAAAATGGCCCGGTTGGTCAAAGGGTTGCCCAAAAACTTGGAGACACAAACCAGGGGATAAAGGACAATGTTAAAATACGCAAATATGTTATGCCCTGACGGCTACCTGTCAGCTTCCATACTGGCTGCTCAAATGTGAACCCATGGTCTCAGCTTCGCTGGCTCGGTGCTCTCCAACTTCTCAGCCACCTTGACCACCTCACCATTGTAGCTTCTTGAGAAGTATACCACATCGCAGCCTCTCCCTTCTGTCCTTCATCTTTTGATAGGCTCACCCAAAGCATGTTGCATTGTTGTTGCGATGAAGTTTTGTTGTTATTGTTGTTGCAAATTGAAAATTATAGGAATGTTGACCCTCTTTCTCTCTCTTTCTTGCACAGTTCCACGACTCCATTTTGAAGTTGTGCGGCAAGGGACGGTGGGAATTGCAGACTCTGTTCCATGACCCCAGGTGATGGCAGTCTCCTGCTGGATTTTGTGCGGTCAGTTAATTGCTGACCGAGACCAAGGGATTCATGTTTACGGATCAAATTTGCTTTGTCTTTAAGAGAGAGAGAAAAAACTAAATCGCGTGCATTGAAGATTTACATGTTGTGTGTATATCAGTATGATTGCTGATCAAGACTAATGGACTTGTATTTGCGAATCAAATTTGCCTTGTTTTTAAGAGAGAGAAAAAACGATTGTTTGCATTGAAGACGTTCGTGTCATATGTATGTATGTATGTTGAACTTCGTTCGCACCGTACATAGCCAACCGAGCTAATCGGAGCTGCAGGGGAAGGACAACAAACTAAACACAAAAGCAACATTTTGTGTCTCCCTGCGTGTGTCTCCCCCTGTGTGTGTGTGTGTCTCCGTGTGTTCATGGGGAGCGATAGTGTAGCGGTTAGCACGCTGCGCTATGAACCTGGCGACCCGGGTTCGATTCCCGCTCACGGCCAACACCAGTGACGATTATCTGAACCGGTCCCGGGCCTCCCCTAGGTCGACTCGGCCTCAAATGAGTACCTGGTGCGGTGTGTAAACATTGCCACTAGGGAGACAAAGGCGGTCGGGCGTGGTGCTGGCCACCCACCCCCTCGTGTACCGTTCCGGCCTTCATAGGTGCTCGCTAACAGCACTTGCCCCTACAGTCTGTTAAGGCTTTATGGGGGATCTTTCTCTTTGTGTGTCTCCGTGTGTGGGCATGGGGAGCGATAGTGTAGCGGTTAGCGCGCTGCGCTATGAACCTGGCAACCCGGGTTCGATTCCCACTCACGGCCAACACCAGCGACGATTATCTGAACCGGTCCTGGGCCTTCTCTAGGTTGACTCAGCCTCAAATGAGTACCTGGTGCGGTGGATAAAAACATTGCCACTGGGGAGACTAAGACGGTCGGGCGTGGTGCTGGCCACCCACCCCCTCGTGTACCGTTCCGGCCTTCTTAGGTGCTCACTAACAGCACTTGCCCCTACAGTCTGTTAAGGCTATACGGGGGATCTTTGTCTTTATCTTTGCCTGTGAATACATTTGTGCGATTGGTACAGTACAATATTTATTTAAAGTTTGGATACTTGTATCGTATTTTGTTGCAAGTATTTGGACTTTGGTGCTGTAACAGCTGTGAACTGGTTGTATCGTTATGCTTAGTCACCTAGCTTGTCTCTCAGTAGCCACACTTGCATAATGGACCATGTGATTCATGGTTAACAAATGCGGTGCTATTAGCCATGTTTCTATTGCCGTCCAATGATGAGACCCTCGTCCATTAAATCTTCACATCCCAACTCAAGCATTGCCACTGTCTCCTCTACGGCTTCACAAAATCCCTCTCCTCCAAACTCCAGATGATCCAAAACGCAGCTGCCAATCTCATCACTCAAACCCGTAAATAAGACCCCCATTGACCGAATACTCCCAATCGCTCTGTTGGCTCCCATTCCATGCTGATCGATTTAAGATCGCAGTCTTCAAGGTCCTCCTTGGACTTGCTCCTGTCCTCCTCTTCCCTCTCATCTCACTCTTCTCCTCTCCATGTTCCAGCAACGGAGGTTTCCTATCGAAGCCCCCAGTCAACCTTCACTCAGTGGGAGATCGCCCATTTCTTCTCTGCCCCCCCCCCTTAGTCTACAACTGCCTTCCTCTTGTCATCCGTGCTGTTGAATCCCCGTCAATCCAGGCTCAACACCATCCTTTTTGATCTGCCTATGAGTGACTGCCTCTATTAAATAAATATGCCCACTGTTTCTGGGCAGCATTCTTTGATCTATGTTACATTGATAATCTTGCTGCATGGGTGTCATGTTTACATCTGGATATGCCATCAGGTGCTGCTGCTGTATCCAGAAGTGTGTCCTGCTATATTTTCATACCTTGTAACATTGCACTATGAATATTGATTTAAAGCTTTCGTGACTGCAGTAATTCATATTCTTAGCTCTTTCGGTAAAGTCACGTTGAAGGGAAACAATAAAATATTTTATTATTTTAATAATAAAATATTCGGTAAAGTCACGTTGAAGGGAAACAATAAAATATTTTATTATTTTATTGTTTCCCTTCAACGTGACTTTACCGAAAGAGCTAGGAATATACATTGCACTATGTAAAGGTCAGAACCTGTGCATGACTTTACACAAAATCTAACTCTGTATATGTTGAGAACATCATCGGACATGAAGATGAGTGCAGACTTGAAACAAATAGGAGCAATAATATCTCACGCAACAGTGATTTTAAGAAATCAAAAGGTGTAGTGTGGTGATGTGACATGCAAGGCGTAATGTGAGTAGTGATACACCTTTTCATGCCTGGAAATTGCATTTTACGTGTATTATTGGTTGTATGCATTGCTTTATGTTTGACTTGCGGTATGTCTGGCTGGGATGACAATTGTTGTGTTATACTGTGAACACATTTAAGTACCTCATCGCTGTGTCTCACCGCTGTATCAGAGGGACATTCTGTGATGGGGCTTATGTGTCTGTTTGTGTAGCAATAGTGTAGCGGTTAGTGCACTGTGCTACGAAAACTGGCGACCCAAGTTCAATTTCCACTCACGGCCAATAGCAGTGCCAATTATCTGAACTGGTCATGGGCCTCCCCGAGCTCGACTCAGCCTCAAATGAGTAGCTGTTCCGGTGCATAAACATCGGCACTCGGGAGACAAAATCAGCTGGGCGTGTTGCTGGTCACCCAACCCACTCGTGTGCCATGCCGGTCTTCATAGGTGATCACTAACACCACTTGCCCAAAAGTCTGTTCAGGTTGTTCGAGGTGGGTCTTTTTCGTTGTCTTTTCACAGTAATTCGAAGTGCAAAGTCAGATTTTATGTTTGAAACTTTAAAAGTTGGGACATGTCTCACAGCTTCTCAGTCACGTTTATTAAAATATACCTTGATCGGTTTGTAGTATCAGTAATCCAGTTTACTCCTACCAAGAGATTTTTGTTATAAATGCAAATATAAATCTGGTATATGTTCCATGTATTTTTTACAAATATGTCGTTAAAGTTCTGTGATTTGAAAGTAATTGCACAATTATTTTTTTTTTTACAAATCGACAAAGACAATTTTATTAACAATGTACTTGGTGATTTAAAGCTTTCGTGACTGCAGGGATTCATATTCTTGGTTCTTTCGGTAAAGTCACGTAGAAGGGAAACAATAAAATAATAAAAAATATTCACACCTGTGGTTTTCACACCTGATGATGATTGCTTGTGTTGCAGTCGAGACGTCGTGAGAATGTATTGTTTTATATTTTTATTATTTTATTGTTTCCCTTCTACGTGACTTTACCGAAACAACAAAGAATAAGGTACTTGGTGATTTCAAAGTACTTTGTGCTGAAAAAAATGAGTTCCAATAAAGTAATTTGAATTTTGAAAAGTTGCATTTTATTGGATGTTTTGCACTAAAACTTGTTTTTCGTCCGTGTGACCCAAATACAGCGTGAAGTTACAAAATAACAACAGAGGGTGGATCGTTAAAACTCGCCTTTGAAAAATATCAACACGTTCATGTCGGTTTTACAAACACTTAATGCTATGGGCTATCACGATAAATTACTTTAAAGGATGTACAAACGGAGAACAAAAAGTGTAGTGGTTATCTTTAGGGTCGCTTGATTTAGTCGTTTGTGAGTTCTTATGCAGAGTAAAACCAATGTATTGGTTTACCAATCGTGCAGGAATGGTTTATGTAGAGCCATGTAATTCTCAGTGTGTTCGTCAAACCAGGGCAATCGAAAGATGCTGATTACTTTAGTCAGTAGAGTTGAGAAGTTTAAAAACTGGCAGGTAACAACTGAAGTTTTCTGTCATCCTGTAATATCCGATTAAATTATTACCATTACAAAGTAGGAAAATACTGAGTTCTTGTAAAGAGATTTCACTGAATTCCAGAAATATTAGTTTTGCCCAGGTCCGAGTAACTTTGTTCTCATGAAATAGTTTGTTCAAGTGATTAACCTCAACCTGGTTCAGCCGCCTCACCTCAACAGGAATTCGGCATCTTGACTGAGCACAATTTGGTTTACTTTCTGAAAATCTGCTACGGTAAAGGTGCAGCCCTGCAATTGCTTGCTCGCATCACTGCTGGAGGAAGGACATCCACTCGTGTAATATGAGGCCTTTACAAATGTGCCCCCGTGTTCGTAAAGATTTCAGAATTCTTATCGCCAAAATGTGTATGGCTTTATTTCCACTCTTTGTGTAAAATATTTACATAATGTACAATGTTAGTGCTCGCTATTCGTATAATTGTCCATGTAAGGGAGAAATCATGTAATGCTGAGATTACAAACGGAACTAAAGCAAACACTGCTTCTTATTTACACGGTGCTAAATGAAAATTATTAAAACTGTGAACATAACCAAAGTTTAATTTAATCGATAATGATCAAAACAATAACTATTTACAACATAAAATATGTGCTTGTGGAACAGCTCTGAAATGAGTTGCAGGGTCTTGGGCAGGTATTTAGCGATGCAAGTGTGGGTTTGATGACCTTAGCACAGTTTTGCAATGTGTGTGTGTGTTTTTTCTACCATAATATTCATACTTGGCTTATGCTCTTGAGTAACGTTGAACTAGATGCCGTGTGACTATTCTCGCCTCGTTTAGTTAAGAAATGTGTTCCTCGCACGTGACTGTCACAGCTGCAGTTTGTTCATGTTTAGCCGTTGGAACATTAACCCCTGTACAGAATTCTGTAAAATTATTCATCTCTCCGGGACTTCATTTCAGGTGGGTCTGTCTGGGTCAGCGACTCAGAAAAATATGTATATGCCCGACACACCACATCAAGTATACCTCTCGCTAATGGGCGTCACGGTGCCACCTACTTAAATCTTTCAGCGACCCAGAAAAAATTAAGAAATTAAGCCCTGCGTCTTTCGCACTTTTGAATAATTGTTAAACGGCTACTGCCGCTGCCTCTTTGGCATCACCTGCATTCGCATCATTCATTACAATTCCTGGTCACTCTTGCAAATGAGACTTTCCTCGTCTCTCGAGTTGTCACCTGCTTAAACAAAATAAACTCGAACACCACGGAACGCTGCTCGCGGTAAATGACAAAATACGGCAATTCACCGCATGCTGGCGCTCAGAACACTGCCTTCGTACCCGCCAATTACAATGGGGCAACATTGACCGTGGAACAATAAAGTATGCTTTAACTGTCGCCTCTTCAATTTCTAGCGCACAAATAAATATGACAACTTGTTATAAGTTAACTCGATTTGACCGAACAAACAGCGGAACAACACGGCCGATGCTGTGGGTGAACAAAGGTAAAGCGTTTGCGCTGGGTGCTCGCTGCAGCTCAACGTTCGCGGTGGCCGCG